AGAAAACTAAGTTTTGTAACTTTTTTTCTTTATTTGGATATTGGCATAATATATATACCAATTTAGTACAAAATTACTTGTTACCTAGAATTTTATAGCCTGGGATTCAGACGTTGATATTTTTTGCTTATTCATAACTTACGCGCTATTTCATACTCGTTCGTCATAGATAACACAACATCTCTGGTTTTGGTAGTATAGTCGATTTGCCGAACAGAAGCACATAAAAAATAGACAGACTGGAACCCAGGCTAAGGGCCCGTCTACACCTATCCAAGTCTTGAATGCAAGTATCATATTCTCTTGTATTGGATAATGTAGACACCCTACTTGAATGAGTTTTAAAGAGAAATTATGTGACATCCAAGAAGATAATTCCTTGCAAGAAAGTTAGAACACGTTCTATTTTTCTACAAGTTTTTGGCTGTCAAGACACTGATAACACCGGTTTGACACAAAACATGTGCCCCGAAGGTGTGATAGTGTTGTTTTTTTAAATATTTTCTGACTTTTTTGTTACTGATTCAGTGTTCATGATCTGTAAATTTCAGTTAATGTATACAATATCTTGGTCAGAGGAACAGATACAAATACACTGATGACTGATACACAGAAGAGCAAAAAAAATAAAAAAATTTTAAATCAGTTTTTCAAGTAGTCAAAATGGATTTTAAATGATCTTGTTCATTTAGTGAATAACTTTCATCAAATAAAAAATTTGCATCAATTTACCAGCTCCAAAAATATTTTTCTCACATTTTCCATCATTTTAAAAGAATGTACACATTTCAATTTTATTTACTCCATTGTTTTTAGCTAATTGCATCATTTTCCCGCTTTTTTGTTCACATAATTTACAGAAACATGATAGTATTTCAAAGACAAAGGTATAAATCGTGGGCAATCTTAATTAGACATTTCAGTAAATATTGTGCCAGATTAAATATTGAAAGGGCCATTTATTTAGCTTATCTAAATGTGACATGTAAGAAACTTGAATAGATGTAGACACGGCCTAAGTATTTTAGGACACATTTGATTATTACCTGACAATTTAGGGCGCAACAATATATAGCCAGTTGTTTATATATATGTAAAGAAATGTGATACCTTTAAGTATGACAGACAAGCATTATATAAAACAAAATTCAAAATAATGGATGCTTTTATAACGCTTCAGAATATAAATTATTTCTAGTATGATACATTCGCCAAATAAACATTATTTTCCGTCAATCTGTCAAAAGCTATAGAATGAAAAACGACACATTTTTAATAAAGTACAACGTAAGTGCAAAATATCATAACATTCATTTTACATTTTAAAATAATCACACCCATACTAAAAACTGGATGACTTGTATTTAAATCCGGCTAGTATATAGATATGTTGGGTGTAGACTCAAGTTCGAATGTCTTCCGGAAGATGATCTATAACAATATAACAGTAAAAAAAAATTTTTTATTTTTTTTTAATATATGGATATTTTATTGCATAAATAACAAGTGAAACATATTTTAGGTCAAATCAGTGCCACTAGCACCTTTGTGTTAACCAAAAGCAGGGTACATGATCGGCTAGTTTACACTGTTTTTATAAATGAAAAATTAGGCACAGCAACAGAACTGAGGAAACTCGGGCGCCTTTACCAGCTTAATGATGATTATTCAAACATGTAGAGATTTCCATAGTGACACATGAATAGTTTTGTTGTTGTTGTTGTTTTGGGATTGTTTTTTTCCATACATGATGCTATTTAAATAACAGCAAGTGGACAACCAGCCACACCTGGGAAGACGAATCCCAAGGCCACACTGATGTTAGTCTAAATTACCTTATTCGCTTCTAAGTATTTGCATGAAACGACTTAATAAAGAAACTATAAAGGGTGAACGAGTGTTATGGTTCTATATCGTGAGTGTGCGTGCGTGCGCGTGTGTGCGAAAGAAAGAACAAACGAATGAATAAATGTGCAGTATACGATTTATATTGTTATTTTATGCAAATCATATACATGTATTCTTGACATAAATCCAGATAAAGCACCGGTTCTATAAGGTGTCACATAGGGATCTGTACTGTTTTTAAAGCACATTAATGAGCTCTTTGACACTGTTAGGTTGAGATGTCGCCAGTTTGCAGAAGACTGTGTCGTCTAGAAATCGTTAGGGTCTGCCACTGATACTACAAAGTTACAAGAGGACTTAGACAATCTGGCAAAATGGGAGCGGAAATGAGAGATGCCCTATATTATTTACAATTGCCATACCATGCAGATCACTGGCAGTTCTAAAAAACATTTTTAAACCAATAAACCGTGGACAATCAACCTCTTAAGATTGTCAACCAAGCTATAGTCAGACTGCCTTCAAACAAAATCTACATTCAGCTTCACCAGAAACTGAGTCGGCCACTTATACATTTTTAATTAGATAAACTCAATAATCTTCTAATTACTACTGTGTGGAACCAATGAAGATATTGATAAAAATAAACCATTTCAAAAACAAACAACATGCAACAATTGTTCTTAATCTTCAAGGTCCGTGAGCAACACCCTAACTCTCATCATATAATGGCAATCCCATATGCGCACGACTAACAGATTAGTTCTATTTTACAAAATGATCAATTATGTTGTAGCATTAGATAAAAGTTAAAACTTATGGCCAAAGAGTCAACACCCACACAAGGTTATTATATACAGTAAAAGTTTGCTACTCATTAGTTATAGATAGTTTTATTCTGGTAAAAAATACATGTCATAAAACAACTACAAATTCAATGTCAACATCAAGAGATACATGTAAACATGAAAGTGCATGTGTTGATGCCATATATTCAATACCAAGGATGACACAAAAAGAAGGCATAGGCCGACTTATTTCCATTGTGGTCCTTCGAATTGATCATATGACACCAGAAAGGCAAAATAATTACTAATTATGAAGTATTGCACATAAATTATTCAATCACAATTTCTTATATCAATTATTGCACATAAGTATTTCCATCACATTTATCATACGTATTATAATCATAATTATGACAGATATGTTTGACAATGAATAGGTACTACTAAAATATGCACTGAACATAAAAAATATATAAATAAAAACTAAGTAAAATGACTGGATTAAAATGACTACACGGATATTGATTGCATAAAATGTTTCTTAAAAGTTTTTTTTTTAAATTATCACGACTTGTTATGAACCTAAGATGTGTTGGTAACCTGTTCCATTCCTGCCCACCATTAAATACAAAAGTTTTCTTTCCGAAACCCTTAACTCTAGGAATAGAATAACTGTTACTATCTATAAATCGAGTGGAGTAAGAGTGTACCTCATTTGCAATTTGAAAATGCTCATTTAAATAACTAGGTGCACTATTGTTATGTATCTTATGTACATGACCAAGAATAAGGAAATTTACCCTCAGATGTACTGGTAACCAACCAACTTCCTCAAAATGAGCCCTCCCTATATGAGTACGGGGACTGAGATTAAGTATAAACCTCACCAACTTATTCTGTGTGGCCTGAAGTCTATCTTTTTTAGATTTTGACTCAACCCTAAATACCAGGAGGCACACGCATAATCAAAATGACATTGTATTAATGAAGAAACTAAAAGCTGTTTAGTATACCTATTTAAAAATGAACTTTTTCTATATAAAAACTTAAGTTTTGCATTGGCCTTCTTAATTACCTGATTGGCTATAGACTCACCAGATAGACATTGATCTAGGTCAGCACCTAAGTATTTAACAGATTTGGTGGCTGTTATTGTAGTACCATTACATACAATATTTAGTTGATCACATGACCTAAGTCTAGCCACTTACTCACACTACTGAGATCATCAGTAAGCTGAGAGGTAATATACTGGATATCTTTACCTGATACTAAAATACCTGAGTCATCAGCATACAGAAGCAATTTATTACAAACCACAGCCTCCATATCATTAACATAAATCAAGAATAGGAGAGGGCCAAGGATCGAACCTTGGAGTACCCCACAAGTTACATTGGCGCTCTAGATGAAAGTACACCGGAGACATTGACCATTTGTGTACGGTGTAGTTTGGAAGAAGAAGAAGAAGAAGAAGAAGAAGAAGAAGAAGAAGAAGAAGAAGAAGAAGAAGAAGAAGAATTGTTTGTCTTCCCAGAAATATTATTAGTTATAAAGATGTTTGACAGGTTATATGGCCCTATATGAACGGTAGTTTGGAGATATAACCCGAGCCGCTTGGTTATATTGCAAGCAACTTTTATATACGGTCATATATAACAGGCCAGAAATATTTGTAACGAAGTTATCGCATCGATTTATTCAGGGAATATACATATACACATACAATTTAATCACAGATATCAACTTGCATAAATATAAAAACACACACAAAATGCAACAAAAATAATTATAAGATTAATTAATGAGTATGTTCTATGTAACCCTAGGATAGCCCATTAAGCTAAAAGCTTATTTCCAATGGGGTCCATTTTCTGTAAAATTATTACACTAACTTACATAATAATAAATGAGTTATAAAGAAGTTAAAATAAATGACAATTTTCAACAATCAAGAAACATTTTTTACAAACAAAATGAAATAAATTATGATACAGAAAGCATTTTTTTAAGGAAAAGGTGAGCTTTCTTCATAAATTGACAGAAGCAGTGTATATGAAACCATATAAACGTCATTATTATCCAATGAAAAAGCGATATTACAAACGTGCCGTATTATAAGATCTATTTGAAACTTTAAAACCTCCACCCGATATGCTCCTGCAGTCTTCACACAGGAGCCTCCTTGAGCGCGTGATCAAAGAGTTGTCGTTCTTCCTCATCTTCATCCGGGAACTTTTCAGATTATAATGGCGGTCAAGGTGGCAACTCATTAATTTTCCGATGAATGTAAGATATTGCCGTCTTGAGAGGATAGAAACGGAAGATTTAAGGTTTGAGATATAAAGAAACATACATGCGAAAATGCAGAATGACGAATCAAATAAAGACAATGACACAATCAAGGAGATAAAAACTGTTGAAATCGATCAAGAAAACCAGACAGCGGCCATGACAGGCCAATCATTGCCTGAAAATCCACAAGTTCCCACGAGCCAGTCAACTTTTGGGCTTGATGTTTCATGCAGCGATGATGATGAAGTGTCAGAGGTAATTGTGTGCACTGTCGTGTAGGCCATTTGATTTCTTGTGTTTTGCAATTGTTCCTAAGGACACGCCTTTGTGTTTGGTCTTTATACAAACCATGTGACCCAAAATTATTTTTTATTATATAATATTTATTTCATTTGCAATAGTGTTTACAAAACTTAAGATTGCATTCTGTTTGTCAGTGTGCATACAACTTTGCTTTCACATTTTGCATACTTTTATTATGCAAACACCCCAATTATTTACACTGGAATGTGCAAGTAGATTGTAGACTACATCTGAATAAATATTTCTACATTAAAATTAAAATTTTAAACTTATTTGCCCTTTCAGCCATTAATTTTAGATTTTACTCGCCCAAACCCAGAGCGATAGCCTGAATTTTGATGTATTTATAAATTAGTATTACCTTAGCTTTTTTGACAGATCTTGAGACAGCGTTGTCATATTTGCTTTTTAACGTTTACAAGGAGTTGGACCATCAACAAACCATGTTTATAATTGCAGATAACATGAAAAATATGGTGAATAATACGAAACACAAATAAGTTTCTTAGTTTCATTTAATGCTTTGGATGTTAACTTAGGGAAAAATTGTTGAAAATTTACAGTGTCCTACATGTGTTGCTGGTGCACATTTAAGTTTTACTTGACAAACACACTGTATTTGAAATTTTATTCACAGGCTGCAGTGAGACAGAAATGAATCTGTTGGCTATCTTATTTTAATTATGTAGGGTAGTGCTAATGCAAAATTCTGAAGATCTTTGACTCTTTCATCGGCTTGCATTTACATATAGAATCTGCACCTGTATGAGTATGACATGTAATCTGCTCATCTGATAGGACAAGTGGAAAATCAACGAATTAGAAAGCTGCTGAAATAATTTTATATTTAATGTATTCACATTTCACAATTTGACAAAGAAAAACCAGAAACAAATCTACCAAGCCATTATTATTGGGTATGTGCAAAACACACACTGTTTAAAACTGCTAAAGTTGCATTTGATTCACACTCCTGTCAGAGATTAATACAGTGTGTGTTTATACAAACCTCAAAATAAAGGCTTAGTTTCTGAATCTAATTTCCTTTTGTTGATTTAAACATATGAATATGTTTATAAACTTACCGGCATTCAATTAATTATTACATGAATTATTCATTTAAATAAATAATGACATTTACAACTTTGCACATTATCTTGTAAATCAGACATTCACAGTAGTAGAATTAAGCAGTTACATGTGCTAGAGCTCCAGTAGAGGACAAGTCTCTTAAAAATATACCACCAAAGATTTTAAACAAATATTCTTACTGATGCTACAGGCTAGGCTAAAAGGGACTGGGTGCAAAAACAAAGTCTTTATCAAGTTTATGGCAGTCTGCTTGAATACTTTGGGTGACCAGTATGCACAAAAAACTGTTTATGGTCATAGACATTCGGGCTTCGTCCATCAAAATATCAAATAGCCCGAAACAAATTTAACTAGCCCGAAAATTCTAACAAAGTTGTGGCCTGGTTTGGCGTCATAGCTTACTCATAAAAAAATCAATATGCAAATCCTTCTTGGTCATTATAAATACAACGGGCGTTAATGATTCTATATATAAATTATTTTGGAAAATTTTCGTGCCAAAAACCTTGAAAAAAATCAATTTTTCCCTCAGTCATGTGTATGTAATTTTTTCGGGCCTCAAAACATTGATAGACTGTCGGACTACGCTCTCTACATTTTATGCTAGCCCGAACAGAATTTTACTAGACTGGGGCTCGGGCTTTGCTTATTTTTCGCAGACTGTCCAGGGTCTATGACATTAATCCAGTATATATGATACAACAGAAACCAATATGTACTCTGAGTCTTTTCTTGGATATTATCATCTTTAGCCCCAGTGCAAAAAGTCATGTGATAGATTTGCTGTTTTATTTTTAAATATAAACAAGATGTTGCATTTTTTTATTTACTTTTTATTATCAAGTTAGATCAATTGTCAACTATAAGCTACTCCTGTGCAATCAATACAAGTTATATTATCTAATCCACACTGGACCACACAGAAACTTTATAAATACCATTTTACAATTTAGTGTTGTTTTTTTTTATGTTACAATATAAACAATGTTTAAGTTGAACTCTCCTTGTACAGCCAGTATCCTAGCAATCTCCTCCAACCCCCAAATTCACGGATGATGATAAGGCCAAAATAAAAAATATGTCTGGTTCAGGGAACCCGACCGACCCTATTTTTTTACCGCCGACCCTAAACTTTTTTTTTGATTTTCGGTACGAAAATTTTTGGGTACGAAAATTACAAATGTGAAAATTTTGTTTTACGATGCCTGTTCAAATAGCCGATGAGTAACAATCTTAAAATAATCAAAAAATATTTAATCTTATATGATCAAAATCAACAACAAGTAGAATTGTGAATGTTTCTGCAGGAAACAGACAAATTTTCAATTGTCACATATTTTCGCGATGCCGCTTTTTATAATTAAAAAAATCGTAACCAAAAGGGAGATATGTTTTGTTAAAATGTGTGTAATAACACTTAAAATATAGTTAAGGAATTAAATTAACTATTAGTTGAGATGGAGCCATTACCAGTATGTGTTTGTAACATACAATGAATATTTTCTTTTTTAAGGTAGGGGGGTGTAAGGTCTGATGATGTATGTTTTTTAAATTATATTTCAAATCTTTTCAATCACTTTTATTGTACAGTGTTTTCCATTTGGGACATATTACCATTTTCCTGAATAAGCTTTTTCTCTGTTCAAACTCTGACTCCCCAACCCCTTACTCTGCTATACATCATATTTGTCAACTGCATATTTATAAGTGCAGCAAAGATGGCTTAACATATTCAATGTGATCTGGAACTCCTACTTTTTTGTGCTTGGGAGTCTCAAGACTCCTTCTTTGTGAAAACCCTGCAACTGTTGGTACCAGTTGTAGTCTCAATATTTCGACGGCAAGACAGACCGATTTTATAATCTGATATTTCATAGATGTCTGTCTTTACAGAAGGGCGACCCCCGAATATACAAAAAAAGCCCTAAAGCGCACAATTTGTTAGGCTAGTACCAGTTGCACATATAGACTTGCAGAAGACGATCTGAAGACCATTTAAATATGTTTAATATTAAAATTATATATACAGTAGCTGTGTTATTTTGGTCCCTGGAATAGTGCATGTCAGATGCTCTAAGCTTATAATACAGCATTATTACTAACTTGTTACAGAGGTGACCCTTGATCTTTTAATTGTCAGACCTGTCAGATGCAGGTTAGCATAGTAGTAAACGGGTGATTCAAAGGGAAAGGGTACATAATAAGCAGAATAGAAAGCAAATTAGTATGAATACAGGTGCTACATGGTTAAATGACTACATACAAGAAATAAACAACACAATATCACATGCTGATAGTTTATTACAAAATGGTGTTTGCATTGATTTATTACAATCTATGTTTAAGTATGTTAAGCAAGCAACACATCTATATATAGAAAATAGACATTCTCTCAACCAAAAAAAAAAAAAAAAAAAAAAATCCCTACCCTCCTAATTTTTTGGACCAATGTTTCCTGAACCAGACATATTTTTTTATTTGGCCTAACTGAACAAGTTGTGTTAAATTCTAAATTAACTATATAAAATTTTGCATCTTTAGGTAGAGAATACTTTTCTCTCTAAATTTCTAAAAATATTGAAGTCTAGATATGTCTTTCTTGAAGAACTAGTTATTTAAAGTTATTTTTTGTTTTTTGGAATATAGCACAACAAAAAGCTTTAACAGTAGTCAGCAACATGTATTTTTATCCAAAATGTTTATTATTTAATACAGGGCATTTTCCAGATACTTTGGTAAAAGGTCCCTGGCATAAATTGGATTTTTTTTATTTTTTGAGAAGTTGAAAATCTACCTTATACATGATTTTAGCTTTTTAACATGTATGTGTTTGATCCTTTACATGTACAAAAATAGTTCTCAAAATTTAAAATAGATTTTTTTTTGTATTTTTCCTTTTTTAAATTGGGGAAAAATAGGCTATTTTAGATTGGAAATGGGGCCTTATTAGGACCCTTTTGATTGGGTGAAAATACCCTGTAATAGAAATTACTGCATATTAGTCGAGCTGTTACTCTGAACCTACCAGCACTTATTGCTTATCAATTAATATCATGAAGTTTTACCATTTTGTGTATGATTGATAACAATTTTAGAGGACATTTTGCAAAGCATTGTATTGTGAGTTATCATCAAAGTTACAATCTGTTTGGTAGGGGAATATTGTGAAACATGTTGGAATATGATATTGAAATTGTGCAATTAGCATTAGCTGAATCTTTATTGTCAGAAGCTTAGTGCTTAATGTAGGCCCCATTCTCAAACCAAAAGAAACTCTAATCTTAAAAAAGATTTCAAACAAACTGTTTTGAGTATTCAGCTTGACTATTCCAAGAATAGGGAATACTATTGTACTTACCAAGGCATTGGCATCACACTTTTAATTTTTTACGTGCAAGTTGGTGACTCAAAAACTATTACTGGAAGAAATGGGTTGAAACTTCACACTTATTTTGAGCATAATAGGTCAATGACCAAGGCCTATGTTAAAATTTAACATGGATTTTGACAGAATTATGTTTATGAATAGAAGAGCAGACAGTCCTGCTAACAGCTCTTGTTTGAAAAATTGAAATTTTAATACTTTAGGCTACAATGTGTGAAACTTAAATGTGGTGTAGATAAAAGATTTTGAGTTTACCAACTTTCTCAAATGTTACATAATTTTTCTCAATTCTAGCCAATGGCCATTTCCAAAAATAGCTAGAAAAGAACCTGTGTCTATTAAATGAATTTGATTAAGTAAATAATTATATAGCTTTAAGTTATATTTAGATATTTTATCTGTCTTATGAATGAATATTAACTTGGTATCCAAGACCGATAACTCTAACATGAATTTTGACAGAATTATGACTTTTTTTTAACTTAAAAAATTTAGATTATCCAGGCTCCGGTTTTACTATCAAGCACTAAAAAAAGAAGAGCATGGTGTCCTCCTGACAGCTCTTATTTTAATGCGCAAACAAGTAAAATCAAAACTAGTGAACAGATTTTTTTTTAATTTTGCATAATTGAAAGGAACCATAATAAAACAGATATTGAAAAAAACATATAGTTGGAATATTTTAGGGTAAAGGGTGATTTCCCAAATGAAGCTTGAAATCTTGTTTTCTGGAAGTATTCAAAGTAACTTGAAATTTTGAAATGATATTTCTTTGAGTTGTAAAAAAAGGTATTTTGCAAATAAAGGAGGGGGTTTCTTTCTATGGCCCCTGTTATATATTGATAAAAAAATGCTGATTATATATGTGAGTGTCCCAAACATGTTGCAGGGGAATTTTTTTAATGAAAAACCTGGATTTGTTTGACTGAGGCACTGCTTATTAATAAGATTAATGTCTTGAAACCGCTTAAATAATGTCAGAAATTAAAAAAATGTGGAAGGTCAATGAGAGAAGCAGCATGGAGATTAATTAAGTAAATGAAGTATTGAACTTCTGACATGTGATTAGTTGCTAGGTAACGGACAGGCAGTTGTAGTGAGCATGTTCATTGATCTTTAACTCTAGTCTTAACAAAAAATGAATGCCTGTGTTTGTCTTAAAAAAATATGATTAAAATGTCAAATGTATTCTTGAAGGAGAGTATTCATATTAAAATGATCATCAAAAATGTGCAGTGTGAGGGCCAGGATTCAAAATAGTTACAACCATTTACAAATTATTGATATCATTGTGATTTAACTGGAATAGGAAATGGGGCAGGGTGTGAGGAATGGACACCAATAAAACATATTATTATATGACTATCAATTTAGCCATGTTTAGCATGTTACAGCAGAAAGTGATATTCAATCAAAAAACAAACTACTTCATAATGTCAAAAAGCTTTTCCATGTCTCGTTCAGTTACCGTTCATGTTTTCATCGTGGTTGCTACGAAGTGTCATGTGTCCGGCTGCTGCTACACTTGTGTACATGGCTTTCACAACTAATATGTCAGTCAAACAAATTAAAACAACACACATAAACTACACATAGTTGTTTTCAATATTAATATTAATATTTTCAACTGATAGTCAAACAAATATCTCAATATTCTTTCCCATTTAATATATTGTTTACATGTGATGACAGCTAGTTAGCAGGCGAACGCTGTGTTAGATTACTTCCAGTCCAGAAAATTCCCTTGTTTACCATCAAAACTCATATGTTTACATTAGCAACCATATATAGATAGAAAATAAATTATATGAGGTTATTGAAAAAAAATGTCAGTTTCTTATAAAAAAAATCGAATTAATAAATATGAAGTCTTTAGAAAAGGTCCCTTCTTTGAGTTCATTTAAAAGGGGAATAATTAGGCGAACTTTTAGACGGGAAAAATGATTTCATTCGTGCTAGAAAAAGGCCAAAAGAAATCAACAAAGGGGTTTGTAAATGGTCTTATGTAGGGGATAAGTAAACATTGGTTCCTTACGGGTTATAAAAACTAATTCTTCTCCAAAAAATGTTTTTTTAATTTTATATGAATATTAAATTGTTTTGTAGGTTTTACTCCTTTCTTGGGCCGAGGATCCAGACCCCGCAATGGGGCCCAAATTTCCCGTTTCCCCCGAGCATGAAGGGGGAAATTTACTTTCTAACAGTAACCCAAGACCATGCCAGGCTAGAGCCCCTTTTTGAAGCTGCAGGTAAAGCTTTTTTACAACAGCAAATTGAAATTGGAACATATTATTGGCAACATTTAAATGTATTGGCAGAGTTCAAATAATAACTGTGTAGAGACCAGCTGTCAGCTGTTTCAAACATTCTAAATGTTTGAAAAGTAGTGCCATAGATAATATATAAATAGGCATCTATTAATAAATTGTCTACTTTTTATAAGTGAACATTTGAAATTAATAAGGAACCTGACAGCTTTTATTTCATGCTTAAAGTGCTAATCAGTTTCTATCATGCTTATAGGTTTTAGATAATGGTTTGCATATAAAGATGCTTTCTTATATGGAGCCAGTTCAGCGAGCATATTCATACAGTCTTAACAGATTCAATATGGTTGACTACTTAATTTAAGCATTTTGATAATCAAATTATATCCCTTTAATTGAAACTAGTACCAAAATCAAAGGACAAGTCTATTAAACAATTTGAGCAGGGTAAAAGTTATACAGGCTTTTGGTTTTAAAGACTTTGCTATTGTTTTACCAATTCTTACATTTCTTTCAGGTATAGGGAAGCTTTCCACAGCGGATGGAAAAGCCCTAACTGACCCTGAGGTTCTGCGCAAGCTAACATCTTCAGTGAGTTGTGCACTAGACGAGGCAGCACAAGCACTTCATAGGATGCGAGCAGAGCAACAGAGCCAGTTAGGGAGCGCAGATAGGTAAGTATCCCACATTGTTAAATATACAGTGGAAAAACTGATGGAGAATTACCTTTCAAGCACTTGTTTTCCAATCGTATTTCCATGTAAATGCCTTACATTGTTATTTTTTTAAAAATTAATTGCTTGGTTAAACTTCAGTGGAAAAATAGTATCACATTTTTGATTTACAGTAATTGAAAACTAAACTGTTAAAAAGAGATGTAGAGAAAACAAATTGACCTGGAATCTTATCTAGAGCACTGGCCTGCACTGTTTATTGTTTGACTGTACAGGTTTTGAAATTTCACTAAAAATAATGAAAGGTATTGTCCAGATTGAAAGATGGACAAGTTTATTTGAGATATTTAGCACAGGTTTATCACTGTGATTATTGAACTAATAACATATAAGTAAGAACATGTATCTTATATGGAATAATACATACATTGATAACAATAACCTCATCATTCATTTCAGCCAAAGATCATTGGCAGAAGCTTGCAGTGATGGCGATGTACCAACAGTACGTAAACTGTTACGAGAGGGAGGTAGTGTGCATGAGACCACAGAGGAAGGAGATAGTCTACTCTCGCTTGCATGCTCTGCCGGCTACTATGAACTTGCACAGGTTTGTTTCCTACCAATTTCTTTGATTCTTTAATTTTTATATGAGTTTATATAAGATAATCAAGTAATTTCGTGATCATCTGCTATGAAAGAGTTAAAGGCGTAAATAAGCAGTATTTCAAGAAAGGACCATACTCTCATAGCTTAAAGAGAGGCTCTGATTTGAGCCAATAAAGAAGCTGTAGGAATGCACTATAATAAAAAATTTCTATATCCAACTAATTAATAACGCATTCCGGAAGTATTGTTGGTGTGATAGTGATTATTATTGATTTGGGTTATTTTGCTTCATTGATAAATATTTTGTTGATAAATAGAAGTATACCACTTGAATATGGATGTTATTGTTTTTCATTGAAAGAAATTTTAGCTATCAATTTTTGTTATCTTTGTCTTCAGGTCTTGTTAGCAATGAAGGCGAATGTGGAAGACCGTGGCATCAAAGGTGATTGTACACCCCTTATGGAAGCTGCCAGTGGTGGATATGTAGATATTGTGAAATTGTTGATTGCCCATGGAGCTGATGTGAATGCTCAGTCATCTGCTGGTATGAAGCGTAATTTCGTAATACTAGTGTAGTATTATACTGTTGCTATTTATTTTGTGCATAAATAATTTAAAAGTTCCGTGAATTCACGAATGCAAAGCCTTTGTCATAAAGTTGCTCAGTTTACCTAATCTTTTTTGTGGAATTCTATGAGGCAATTATTAATTTATGTAAATAAACATTGTAATTCATTAAACTTATAATGTGTTGTGCATATTGTAGTATATGAAGATTTTTGCATAAATATTAGCATTTTAAAACTAGGCAAGTTAACGATTAAATGCAAATTTAGCATATTGATGTTGAAATCATATTGGCTAACAATGGCGAGTTCCAAATTCATATGGACTGAGTATTTTACCTTTATTTGTAGGTAACACCCCTTTACATTATGCTGCCTGTGGTGGTTACGAAGAAGTTGTACAAGTATTAATCGAGGCAGGGGCAAATGTAGAGCAACATAATGAAAATGGACACACTCCCTTAATGGAGGCGGCCAGTGCTGGACATGTTGGCGTGGCTGCTATATTGCTTAACAATGGTGCTGGGATCAATACCCATTCCAATGAGTTCAAGGAGAGTGCATTAACACTGGCCTGTTATAAAGGTACATATTCATGTTCTTTGCATTGTGTTGATGACATTTTTAAAGTGGTCATTTGCATAACTGTATTAAGTCTAGAATAGCTGTATTGTCAGAAATAGAAGTTAAGAATTCTAATACGGGGTCAATTTATGTCAACATTTTCTCTGTATCTACATGAAACTAAAAGTGCTGTCTTAATCTTGTATCATTTGATAAAGGCAGGTCTATGTAACCAACTCAAAGCCAGTGCACATTGTGCAGTTTGACCAGTCTTTAACTTAGTAAGATGCTAAGATCCAATAATTATCGGCTTCAAGTTCAAAATGGGACAAAGTCATTAAACAAGTTTTGCAAAGCTAAGGTCAATATTAACACTAATAGTGTACATGTTTACTATGATATGTGTGAGCATATATTCAATGTTATGATTGTAGGACATTTGGAGATGGTGAAGTTTTTACTGGAAGCTGGAGCTGATCAGGAACATAAGACTGATGAGATGCATACAGCCCTGATGGAAGCCTCCATGGATGGACATGTTGAGGTTGCAAGGCTCTTACTTGACAGTGGAGCTCAGGTAACAATTTGTATATTTGACTTCAATCGAGATAAAAACATTAAAGGGACTCCACTGAGGTGGAGTTTTTTTTACATAAAGGGACTGAAAATATTTTTTCAACATTTTGTATAAATGCATATATACATATTATTTATTGCATAGTTATCCATTTTAAGTGCACCCGCCAGTTGATTTATCCAAGAATGAAAAAAAAAAAATGGGGAAAGAAAGGATTTTAAGCCATTAGACCTAAGTGGAGTTCCTTTAAGCTCGGTCTTGTGTATGTCGAGTTTGCCTTTTGGACAAATCAGTACTCATGACTTTGAAAATGATAAAAATGATACCTGATTATAAAGTGTATGTTAAAATATTAACCTGATTATGAAGTGTATATTTAAATATTAACCTTTCTCTTTTATTTCCAAATGTGTTTTGTCTTCTTTAACAGGAACCTTGAATAATATATGAAGTATTAAATTCTGTATAAGAAATAAATGTATCCCCATTGTAACATGTCATTTTCAATTTAATCTGTCTAAAGTTAAAATTAACTTGAAATTCAAATTAATCTGAAGAAAAGGACAGTATACTGGTTTAGTTTCTATATATGTATATTTTAGGTAAACATGCCAGCAGACAGTTTCGAGTCACCATTGACCCTAGCAGCTTGTGGAGGCCATGTAGAGTTAGCTAATCTACTGATTGAAAGGGGAGCTAATCTAGAGGAAGTTAATGATGAGGGATACACTCCACTAATGGAGGCGGCCAGGGAAGGGCATGAGGAAATGGTGGCACTTCTATTAGCTCATGGTATGTTATTTTGATTATACATGTATTGATAGGGTAAGTTATCTTTATGAGATGGTGAAATAAGCATTTTCCAGGTGGTAAATGAGGATTTCAAGGTAAAGCACATCACCAGGCTGGATGTGCACAATCATAATTAGTTGAAGATTTCTTTTGGAGATTTACATTCTGATTGCAGTGGAAGATTAAATGGCATGCTTGCTGTAATGAATGTTTTAATGTCAAAAAGTATAGTCACAACCTAAGATTGCCCTTTTTGGGGAGGTATGACCTAGTGGTTAAGATGGCATCCTCTTAACCCAAGGATGGTGGGTCACAGCCCTTCTTGGGTCCTCACAGTCAGGTTTCCCAGATAGGACACCAATACTGGTTTATTCCAGAAAGCAAACTAAAAAGTTACAAAAAAAGTTGCAAGAATTTGATTCACAAACAAAATATGTCTCAACTAAAATGTAACATGTCAAAAAAGAAGCACTTTAGATGATGTGTTACCCTAAGATTAAGTTTTTATCAGGGATTATATTTCTTCAACAGATGCTGACATCAACGCCCAGACAGAAGAGACCCAAGAAACGGCCCTTACTTTAGCTTGTTGTGGAGGTTTCCTTGATGTTGCTGACTTCCTGATCAGTGCTGGCGCAGATATTGAGCTGGGCTGTAGTACCCCACTGATGGAGGCTGCTCAAGAGGGCCACCTGGAACTTGTCAAATATCTCCTTAAATATAGTAGGTTTCCTTAAAATGTAAATTGAGCCGCGTCACGACAAAACCAACATAATTAATGGGTTTGCGACCAGCATGGATCCAGACCAGCCTGCGCATCGGCGCAGTCTGATCAGGATCCATGCTGTTTGCTATCAGTTTCTCTACTTGTTATAGGATTTGTAAGCGAACAGCATGGATCCTGATCAGAGTGCGCAGATGTGCAGGCTGGTCTGGATCCATGCTGGTCGCAAACACATGTTGGTTTTGTCCTGACACTGCTCAATTTATGAATTTTATCTCCTTTTGCCGACATTTATCTGCTAAATCATCTTTGTCTTTTGCAAAAAAACTTACAAGTTAAAATCATTCAACTCAAAACTTTATTGTGATATTTTATTAACTCTTACTGATAATAATAGACTGTAATTTGCATATATTTATAAAAAGTATTAATAGAGCCACACCAATCATAAACCTTTTGAAAATTAAGGATATTTTGTCCTTTCCAGCCTCTTTCTGAGGACAAGAGATTAAAAAAAATATCTTTAGTGGCTTAATTGATGTTTTCCAATAAATATAATGGAAAGAAAGCATTGAGGTTTGGTAGGATTTATACAAGCAATTGCTTGGTAGAATATTTAGTTAAGTTAAAGTATTAGTAAATGTGCAGTGCTAATTTCAACTTTTCTATTTATTTCAGATGCTAATGTAAATGCAACAACTGGTACTGGGGACACTGCACTGACGTACGCCTGTGAGAATGGTCACACTGACGTGGCTGATGTACTCCTTCAACATGGAGCTGTACTTGTATGTTCTTCTCTTGTTCTTAATCAACAATTACTTTTACTGAAAATAAAATGTATAATGAACCTAGTGTAAAAATCTGAGGTAATACTCCTATGGAACTTTAATAAAAATATCATATTTTAGAGAAACATAATGATGTACAATACCTTTTTTACTTGTGAAAAGGTTGAAGCCACAATATGTTTTAATTTGTTGTTGTTTTTTATGCCACCGCAGCATCTGCGATGCGGTGGCATATAGCGATTCACCTGTGTGTTTGTTTGTGTGTGTGTGTGTGTGTTATATAGATTATATAGTGAACTTAAAAAATCTTCTTGTGAAAAACCACTAGTCCAATTTAAACCAAACTTGGCAGGATTGATCCTTGGGTGAAGGGCTTCCAAAGTTGTTCAAAGAATTTCATTCCATGCAGAAATCTGGTTGCCATGGCAACCAAAAGGAATTATAAGAATAATTTTAAAAAATCTTCTTGTAAAGACCCAAAAGGCCTAGAGCTTAGATATTTTGCATAAGGCATTGTCTGGTAGACCTCTACCAAGATTGTTCAAATTATAGCCCTGGGGTCCAAATCGGCCCTGCCCCGGGGGTCTTTGATTTTCACTATATGTACATATAGTAAAAACTTAAAATACCTTCTTGTGTGCAGGTACCAGGCTTAGAGGTTTGATATTTGGTATGTGTTATTATCTATAGGTACTCTACCAAAGTTGTTCAAATTTTGCCTCTAGTGTCAAAGTCAGCCCCACCCCGGGGGTCATAGGTTTTTCTTATATGTATATAGTAAAAACTTAAAAAATCATCTTCTCTAAATTCACAAAGGCTAGAGGTTAGATATTTTGCATGAAACATTGTATAGTGAACCTTTAGCAAGATTGTACACATTATAGCCCTGGGGTCAAAATTGGCCCCGCCCCGGGGGTCATTGATTTTCAATATGTACATATAGTAAAAAATCAAAAAATCTTATTGTCTGAAGGTACAAGCCTTAGAGCTTTAATATTTGTTATATGTTATCATCTATAGGTAGTCTACCAAAGTTGTTCAAATTTTGCCTCTAGTGTCAAAATTAGCCCCGTCCCGGGGGTCATAGATTTTCCTCATATGTATATAGTAAAAACTTAAAAAAATCATCTTCTCTAAATTGACAAAGGCTAGAGGTTAGATATTTTGCATGAAACATTGTGTAGTGAACCTCTAGCAAGATTATTCAAATTAAAGCCCTGGGGTAAAAATTGACCCCGCCCCTGGGGATCATTGATTTTCAGTCACTATGTCATAAAGTAAAAAATTAAAAATCCTATTGTCTGAAGGTACTAATCTGATAATAACAGATAGGTAAGTGATCTATGCATTATGGCAGTCTGTATAGAAACAAAAAAAATTGTGTTCCTACATTACTATTTAGTGTTGTATTTATGCGGTGGCATGGCATTTTTTACAAATGCAATCTTGTTTTAAAATTAAATACAAAAATAAATTTGCCAGATTTTTTTTTTCAAAGCCCTAAACATTAATTTAATAATAGGTCTATGTATAGAACATAGAGACTGTGCACTACAATATGTTTATCTTTTGTTTACTGTTCAACAGGAGCATGAATCAGAAGGTGGTAGAACGCCATTAATGAAAGCTGCAAGGGCGGGTCATCTTTGTACTGTACAGTTTCTTATCAGCAAAGGTAAGATGTTGTTTAACTTTGTATTTTGTAAAACAGGATTTTGCTTAGTAAAGGAAGAGGAGTGAATATTTTGAATAGTGAACTTCAGTAGATGTTCAGATTCCTTTTCCATGCTGTATGTTTCCCAGAATCTGTTTGGCCTTAAAACCTGCTCTCAGGAAGAAATGGATTTATTATAGGAAAATAAATGGAAAATATGTAAGAACTTGTAAAGTTCTGGAGAATTAAAATTAACCAGGAACGATGGTAGGGTAACTGTCAGCCAGTATGTCATACTATTTAAATTTACTGTAAAGTTACTGGTAATGAAAATATTAACCCACTCTTCATGAATAAAATCAATGTCAAGTGTTCAGAATAATATTCAGGATAATTTAGAGAAAACATTCATTTGAGAAATTCTGTTATTGTATAGGAGCTGATGTGAATCGTCAGACAACGACGAATGACCATACTGTATTATCCCTGGCCTGTGCTGGAGGTCACCTGGCTGTCGTAGAACTTCTCTTGGCTCACGGTGGAGATCCTACTCATAAACTAAAGGTAATATATGATATAGGCAATTACATGCTCAGATAGAGATTTTAATTATCCTCGAGTCAGTAAAAAGGCAAAATGAATACCCATTTTATAGGAATTTAGGTAGCTATTAAGCTTTAAAATTAATTTGATTTTCGTAGATGTAGATGTTGTTCTTTTTCTTTGCTACAGATTGTGAGACTCGTATACCAACCAAATAATGTTCTGGTATTCTTTTATAGAGATTTTGTCATTTTAAATGTAAGATACCTTTGCTAGCATGAACAGGTGTTAAGATTATTCCTCGTTAAGATACTGTCTTCGAATGCTGTTATTTTAATTGTGAAATGTGGTTTCTTTTAGGATGGCTCTACAATGGTGATAGAAGCAGCTAAAGGGGGACATACAACAGTTGTGAAGCTGTTGTTAGAATACCCTAACCGAGTTCTCATGAACCATGGACAGGAGCTGCCTCAGCTAACTGCTGCTGATCAGCATCTTGTAGAGGTAACTTTAGCTACAGTTTTATACTAGGATGTTCTTAAATATGTGTGATACAGGTTTCTTGCTTCAGTGAACCCACAAATAAAGGCTAGAGATTTTCTCCTGAAGTTTGCCCCGTCTTTTGTTTTTGAGATTTTATTAACAAAAAATTGTTTCCTTAGAATTTAAGAGTTTTGTTTAAACAAACAATGTGGTAGGTAGTTAATATAATTGATGAGTATTTGTAACAAGTTTGTAATTGTGTTTATATTTTATCTTCACTGGTTGAGTTTATGCTGAGCTCTATACTAATTGATGTTTTTCAGTCTCGTGTTCCAATTCATGGCTTGGCCAATATAGTTCCTCCAAGTGAGCCTGACTCTCATCCGTCTAGACCAAATAACCTCACTACCACCACTGCATGTGAACATATCGACGGTGCCTCACCCGTGAAACGTAAGGCACAAGACAAGGATATGAACATCCCGGCCAAGGCCAGCGACCAGATCTGGCAAAACATGCAAAAATCATTAAAGAAGTCTACAACTTCCAGTACAGGCAATCAACATAACATTGATGCAGCCACCAAAACAACAAAAACTTCAAACTTAACCACCTCAGGTGAACTAGCAGCCCAGATAAGTGAAAATGGAGTGATATCGGACCTTTTACCTGATGATGCAATAGATCTGAAGGCAGGAGAACGTTTAGAAGCAATCATTAGTAATGTTATGGCAAAGGAATTGATAAATACTACATCAACTAGGGAAGAGCAGATTTTAAGAAAGCAACAAATTTTAGAAGAGTTACAAAAAGTGGAGAGGGAGTTACAGGAGAAAGCCCATCAGCAGTTGTTGATAACCGCCCAACATCAGCAGCAACAACAACAACAATTGCAACAGGCGTTACAATCAAGACAACCTTTACACCAGGTTAATATTGTTTTGTATCAGTCTTATTGGGCATGTTGTAAACTAAAAGTGACTTTTAAGCAAATTTTTTATTCTTTCCATTAAAGTTTTCTGAAATTTTTAAAATTAGGCTTATGATACAGTTTATTGTTGTTGCAATTTGGTTAATTAAAATAGGTTCTGTGATTGTTAAAGAATGCAGATGTGTAGAGAGTTTTGAATTTAAGGATTTTCTTTCATCCTCAAAAGTCTGGATGCTCTATTGTTAAAAGAAATCCTGTTTTACTAAAGGTATTGTTACCTACTTTTAACATATTAAGTATTTTCTGCCTTTTTCATAATACTGAATTTGTTTTCCTGTGTAAAACATGTAGTTTTATGCTGAGATATATGTATTTGTAGGCATTACAGAAACAATTAGAGGCCCAAAAGAAAAAAATAAGTGTACCTAGTCAACCAGTGGTGCCAGTTCCAACTACTTCGACAACTGACGTCCCAGAGTCATCGATGTCAAACAACCTAGATAAGCAGGCCTCAAGAACTGGCACCGAAGTCTCTAAATCAAATTTAAAGCCTAATATCTCAGAAGCATCCAGCAGTTTACCTTGTACACCCTCTGTTGATCAATTAAAACCACCATCAGACGGGGGCGTAGCTGAAAAACAGCAGAAGCCGCCCAGTGGGAACCAGTCAGAAAATGGTGCCAATCATAGTCAGACTAATGGGGAGGAGGCCGGGAAGAAGAATACTGTTGGAAATGGTAATAACACTGGAAAGATGAACGGTAGTTTAATAAGCACGAATGGCGCTGTGCAATCCCATAATGGAGGTTTGTTTGTTATTATTTTTTGTAGTATACAGCTTTTAGTTGTTCTGTTTTATGTTTATAGCGAATACGATTTACCTATGGTAGAAATGAATAATAAATTTAATGAATGTATTACTTTCTCTTAGGATATTGTATATTTTAATGCTTTTTGTTGTTACACATTTTGTCAACAACAAAAAAGAAAAGAAAGAAAGGTAATTAAGAACTGGAAAATGAAGACATGTAAAATTCATCATACAGGAAGTAGTCATATGTTTGCCACTTACGCCATTTTATACTTTGTTTCACAGGTAGCCAGTCCAGTCAGGTCAGTTCTCAACCGTCACGACCTCCTCTACCCACTGCCAACCAGCTTATCAACAATCTCCCTACAATGGCCCAAAACATCCCCCTCCCTCAGCCCCCGATACCAGTTCCCCCTCAGAATCAAGCGCCCCCAAAGCCTCCTCAGCTCACCCTTAGTCAACAACAGCAGTTAGAGCAGCAGCTGCAGCAGTTACAACTTCAGCAGCATCAACAACAACAGACAGTGCTCAATCAACCGTTTGTGTTGAACGAGAATCAGCGGCAGACTTTACAGAATCTAATTATGCGGCAACAGCAGGAGGCTCAACAGCTAGCACAGCAAACCTCACTACAGTTTCCACAGCTTCAACTTACACCTCAGCAACAAGATCATCTGTTTCAAGTAAGTCTGATCATCTGTTTCAACTAGGTCTCTTCCTATATATCTGCCAGATACACTTCATGAAAATGATAGGTTGATGGGCTAGAGACTATTCTGTCAAAGTTTTAAAGTTTTATTTCTTGATGATCATATTTTGTTCAAGATTTGAAATCTGTTTAGTCCAATATCTGTAAACGAGACGTACAAGATAATTTTTAGATAGATGTTTTTGAAACTAATTTGTGCGTTTAAATTATACTATGTATTGCCAAATGCCTGACATTGTTTTATCTTATCTAAGAAATTGATCTAAATGAAGTTTAGCCTCTCAATTTTCTATTTTCTTAGTTCAAAAGACATGCAGTTGAAAGTTTATAATTTACATTTGAAGTTTTTCAGTATTATTATGCCTGTTTCAGGTGTTATCTCAACAGCAGTTTACTCCTCAACAATTACAACAGGCTCAGCAAGCTGTAGTTGCCCAGCAACAGGCGCAGCAGCAACAGTTTGCTATCACCTCCCAACAACAGGCAGTAGCCCAACAGGTCCAACATCAAAATCTACTCCAACAAGCTTCAGCTCTCAATCCTCAGTTCTCACAAGCAAACCAACTGTTGTTTAACCAGCAACAACATCAGCAGTTACTGCAGCAACAGCAACAAGCTCAATTGTTCCAGCAACAGTTGCAGCAGATTAAACCTCCAGTCGTGCCACAGACACAAAAACCTGTTACCCAGAGGAAAGCGCTTTTACCGTTGTCGCAGTTAAACCCTGATACAGGAATGCTAGGTATCGAGACCGTAACACCTCCCCCATCCACTCCGTTAACGCCCAATCCATCACCAGCTTCACCGGACAGTATTTCACCGTTGTATACACCGATAGATCTGGATGCCCAGACTGAGAGCAATCATGATACGGCACTGACCTTGGCTTGTGCCGGAGGTCACTCGGAACTGGTTACTCTCCTACTCTCCAAGGGTGCTGATATTGAACATAGGGATAAAAAAGGTACACTACATATTACATTACTATTTCTTAAATGTTTACATTCATCAAGACAATTCCTGTTGTTATTATCTAAAAGCTATATTTATTTGATATGATACGCATAACTGCAGTGATGTTATTTATATGTTTATAATAAATTATTTGTTTATTCATGCATGGATTTGCTATATGCTTTGAAATGGCAAAAAAAGAAAACAAAGGCTGTGCAAGAATTGTCATAAACCATTCTTCAAACCTTGATTTCAAAGACTAGAGTCTGTTAAAAATTTCTAATTTTGTTAGCTCATCTGTCACAAAGTGACAGGGTGAGCTTTTGTGATCGCTTTTCGTCCGCCGTCCGTCCGTCCGGCGTCCGTCCGTAAACTTTTGCTTTAAATGACATCTCCTCATAAACCACTAAGCCAATTTCATCCAAACTTCACAGGAATGTTCCTTTGGTGGTCACCTTTAAAAATTGTGCAAAGAAATTAATTCCATGCAGAACTCTGGTTGCCATGGCAACCGAAAGAAAAATCTTTAAATATCTTCTTTTAAACAACCCTAAGAGCTAGAGCTTAGATATTTGGCATGAAACATCTTCTAGTGAGTGTCTACCAAGTTTGTTCAAATAAAAGCCCTGGGGTCAAAATTGGCCCCGCCCCAGGGGGTCATTGATTTTCCCTATATGCATATAGTAAAAACTTAAAAAATCTTTTAAAGAACCATAAGAGCTAGAGCTTAGATATTTGGCATGAAACATCTTCTAGTGGATGTCTACCAAGTTTGTTCAAATAAAAGCCCTGGGGTCAAAATTGACCCCGCCCCAGGGGGTCATTGATTTTCCCTATATGCATATAGTAAAAACTTAAAAAAATCTTCTTTTAAAGAACCCAAAGAGCTAGAGCTAAGATATTAAGCATGAAACATCTTCTAGTGAGTGTCTACCAAGTTTGTTCAAATTAAAGCCCTGGGGTCACAATTGGCCCCGCCCCGGGGGGTCATTGATTTTCCCTATATGCATATACACTGGAGCCGCGATATAGCGCTCATGTTGGGGTCCATGATCTCAAGACAGCGTTGTAACGAGTAACTTTTTATAACGCTCATTGTGTAATTATAGATAAATATATATAAATATCGCATTACCCCACCCACCGCCGAAACATATAACGCTTGTTAGTGGAAATGATTGTTTACTTACCTTACAATGGATATCAGTCCAAGCTTTTTTATATATTATTATTAATTATTTTGTAAAGCATTACTGAATATCTTTAATATAAACATGAAATTTACGAATTAAAAATATAAACCTCGAATGTACAATTGTTTATAAATTTCCAGTAAAACAGCGGTGTTAACGTGTGTTATGTGTGGTCATGAAAATTGATACCTAGTGGATGGGACTAAATTAATCGTCTTTCCTGCTGTCTCTTGTGAAAAAATCAGTCATCCTCAACAACTTTTTTGCCGATAGATTGAAAGTAATTGCTTTTTAAGATTAATTGTACGCTTGGGTGATTTACTTTACTCTTCGGTGTTTGCATGTTTTAGCTAACAGTTTGATACCTGACTGATCAACAGTTCAAAATGAACAAAAGAGTGGATTAACGCTTACCTGTGTATGACTTCACACCTTCTTATCATGAGTGACGTAATTATGACTGTTTATTGCACTCGACTGACACATTGAACAAGCGTTATAGTGGATAAGGTGCGGTATTGATATACATGAAAAAAAATTATAATCGGCGAAAAATACGATTTATTTTCGGGAGCCAAGGCATATGAGCGTTCTACTGAGATTAGCGCTATACTGAAGAGCCCTATATCGCGGCTCCAGTGTAGTAAAAACTTAAAAAATCTTCTTTTAAAGAACCATAAGAGCTAGAGCATAGATATTTGGCATGAAACATCTTCTAGTGAATGTCTACCAAGTTTGTTCAAATAAAAGCCCTGGGGTCAAAATTGACCCCGCCCCAGGGGGTCATAGATTTTCCCTATATGCATATAGTAAAAACTTAAAAAATCTTCTTTTAAAGAACCCAAAGAGCTAGAGCTAAGATATTTAGCATGAAACATCTTCTAATGAGTGTCTACCAAGTTTGTTCAAATAAAAGCCCTGGGGTCAAAATTGGCCCCGCCCCAGGGGGTCATTGATTTTCCCTATATGCATATAGTAAAAACTTAAAAAATCTTCTTTTAAAGAACCGTAAGAGCTAGAGCTAAGATATTTAGCATGAAACATGTTCTAATGGGTGTCTACCAAGTATGTTCAAATAAAAGCCCTGGGGTCAAAACTGGCCCGGCCCGGGGGGTCATTGATTTTCCTTATATGTGTATAGCAAAAACTTAAAAATCTTCTTTGAAAGAAACCAAATAACTAGAGTTTAGATATTAAGCATGAAACATCTTTAAGTAAATATCTACAAAGTTTTGTTCAAATAAAAGCCCGGGGGTCAAAACTGGCCCTGCCCCAGGGGTGTCATTGTTTTTAACTATATGTGTATAGTAAAAACTTTAAAAATCTTCTTTTAAAAAACCCAATGAGCTAGAACTTAGATGTTTAGCATGAAACATCTTCTTATGGGTGTCTACCAAGTCTGTTCAAATAAACAAATAAAAGCCCTTGGGTAAAAATTGGCCCGGGGGTGGGGGGCCTATATACAGGTGAGCGACCTCAGGGCCATCATGGCCCTCTTGTTTAATTGGAATGTTTTCGAATTTGTCTTTGTCTATATAACTGCACAACACAAGATACTTTGTCTATTTTTATGGCAGTGATTTTTCTCACTTAATTGGTAAGAGGCCTAAGCCTCTTGATTTTGGGAAAAATTATCGCTATAAATGCTGACATGGGAAGTAAAAAGTTCAGATTTTTGGGAAAACTGCATGATTTTAAAGATAATTCAATTGGGAAGAGGCATTTTTTCGGAGTCTGTTATATAAGTAGGAAAATTACTGTTATATTGTCGTAAAATTTCAAAGGAACTTCAAGATCTGTAAATCTCACATTTAAAATTTCAGGTTTTACACCACTAATACTGGCCGCGACTGCAGGTCATACTGACGTAGTGGAGATATTGTTAGAACATGGTGCTGATATTGAAGCCCAGTCTGAGAGAACGAAAGATACGCCACTCTCTTTGGCATGTTCTGGTGGTAGATACGAGGTATGAGTTTTGACAGTGCGTTTTACGTCGCACTTTTGACCATTTGTTGAAGTGCCTGGATTCTCTGCAATAGCAATTGTATACTTTATTTATTTACAACAAGTAATTGCTGGTCAGATTTAAGTTCCTAAACTCGTCATCAAAATTTGTTCATATCAGTATGAAATAGGCATTTATTGAAAAGAATTTTACGTAGCAATTAATGATGATATATGCGCTGATTAGTTCCAATATAAAACAAAGAAATTGTCAATAAATATAAAAAATTGGGTAAATTTTACATGCTTTGTTAGGTGAATTGAGATCTGTTCTATATTACTACAGAGTTCATCTTTATTATTGTTTTCAAGGTTGTGGAGCTACTTTTACTTCGAGGGGCGAACAAAGAACATCGCAATGTGTCCGACTATACCCCTCTCAGCCTAGCAGCATCTGGGGGCTTTGTTAATATCATCAAGTTACTTCTCTCACATGGAGCAGAGATCAACTCCAGGTTGGTTTATATAGTTAACCTGACATAATAAAGTTTGTAGTTGTTCAGCGAATAATAAATTTTTATAAACTGATAAAGGATATATAATATAAATAAAATGTTGAACCTTTATTAAAAATTGAGTTTTTATATACTTAAAGGGAAACAACTGATAAATTAAAAGTCTTAAAATTGTTTAGATTATCTCTCTAAAGTAATTTCTCTATATTTAAAAATAGATACATGTAATCTATTTAAAAAAAGATTTTAATATACTATCTTATGGTGGCAATGTGGTAGAAGTTATGTTTCAACTATTTTTTAGGACTGGGAGTAAATTGGGTATATCACCACTGATGTTAGCCGCAATGAACGGTCATACTGCAGCTGTTAAACTCCTCCTAGATATGGGTAGTGACATTAATGCACAGGTAATTCTTACTTTTTTATTTATTTTTTTTTTTTACTTTAACAACTTCACTTAAATTTCATGTGTGATTCATTTTATATATTTTGATGTTTTATTCATGACTGAATGGCTGGTTATCAGTAACTTCTTTTGGAGAATCACTCTAAAATTTCTAGTATAAATGTGATTGACCTTTATAAAGGGCCAGTGGAGCAAGAGATATTTTTATCTGTTAATAACTTCATCATATAGACAATTGGTTTGATCCTCACCATAGTTTGTAACATGGTCCACTGTCAGGTTTGCTTAAATAGAATTGTTTGGCCCCTTTTCTGACCTTCTAGAGCTGAAAATGGATACAAAATGTAAATAACACTTTGTGAATTTATGAAGTGATCATAGCCAAGCATTGTCATAGTATTGTAATGAGCCTCAGTTTGTGGGAAAATTTGAATTTTCTTGGCTAAGGGACCAAAATAGGTAAAAATGAATGGATTGTTACTAAAGTTGTCAGTAGCATTTAGGATAAACTTTACTTGAAAAAAAAAGCATTTGAGCAATTTTTTTCACTAAAGTTATTGATAGTTCAACGCTGAATGTAGAATATGGTATAGATAAATTGCCCATTGCATACTACTTAAACTATCAGTGCAGGTAAAGTTTGGGGAAATGTCTTCTTTAAATCAAATATAACTTTCTGTTCTGCAGTCCTTAGTCATCACAATTTGCACAAAGTGTTAGATTTCAATGTATGCCATAGTTTAGCTAACCACCTAAAAGTAAGAGATTGCATGTACTTAAATTAAATGTATACTTGTTAGTCCCCTACCGGTTTACCGGAGGGGACTTTAGGTTTACCCTCCGTCCGTCTGTCTGTCCGTCTGTCAGTCCGTCCGTCCACAAAACTGGATCCCGCGATAACTTGAAAAGTACCGAAAATATTTTTATGAAACTTGATATATGGATAGATGGCAGTATGGAGATTATGCACGTCTTTTTCTTTTCTTCCTGAAAATATGGCAATTTTACACATAAACTGGATCCAGTGTTAACGCAAAAAGTACTGGAAATATTTTTATGAAACTTGAAATATGGGTAGATGGCAGTCTGGAGATTATGCACGTCTTTTTCTTTTCTTCCTGTGTTGAAAATTCTGGTTGCTATGGCAACAAATAGACTGAAAATATGGCAAATTTTACACATAAACTGGATCCAGTGTTAACGCAAAAAGTAATAGAAATATTTTTATGAAACTTGTAATATGGGTAGATGGCAGTCTTGAGATTATGCATGTCTTTTTCTTTTCTTCCTATGTTGAAAATTCTGGTTGCTATGGCAACACATAGACTGAAAATATGGCAAATTTTACACATAAACTGAATCCAGTGATAACTCAAAAAGTACTGGAAATATTTTTATGAAACTTGACATATGGGTAGATGGCAGTCTTGAGATTATGCATGCCTTATCTGTTCTTCCTATTTTGAAAAAATAGTGGTTGCCTTGGCAACAAATAGGCTTAAAACATGGCAAATATAACAATATTTGTGATTAGTCAAAAAGAGCTGAAAATGTTTATGAAATTGCATCTTTAATTCAAGAGTTATCTCCTCTTTAAGAATTTTGCTTTTAAAAATGTTATATTTTGGTAACAGGGATGTTTCAGATATTAACTTTAGAGTGTCCTTCAGTCCGTCTGTCTGTCTGTTCATAAAAACTGTTTCCTGTGATCACTTTTAAAGAACTTTTCCAACAAATTTACTTAAAATAGAGAAAAATTGAAACATTAGTGAATGGCCAATGGCCCTTCAGAATGTTGATAGGGTTCTAACCGGTAGGGGACTTATGGATTGCTTGCAATACTATGATAATTGCTTGTTTAACTAAACATATCTCTTTATTTCAGATCGAGACAAATAGGAATACGGCATTGACCTTGGCATGTTTTCAAGGTCGTCATGAAGTTGTAAGTCTTCTAGTGGACAGGAGAGCTAACATTGAACATCGTGCTAAGGTAATTTTCTATATACAATATCACACTTGACAAGTAATTATCTGTTACATTTTCAGTCAGTTTGGAAACAAAGTATGTAGTATACACATACAGTCTGTTTTATAAAAATAAGATATTCTCCTTTTTCTTTGCACAAAAGTTGTTATCTGATACTGACTATATTAACATTGTGAAGAAATGAGGCATAGCGAGATTTCTTAGGGCAGATAAATTTACTGTCCTCTTGAATTAACTTTTTAGATATTCAAATGAAAGTTGTTATTTACATAAAGATATCTTGACCACTTGTGCTGAGCATCTTGGCTTTCTAAAAAAATGACCAAAGACTTGGTGAATTACAAAGAGAAAAAATATCCTTTTTAAGCAGGCATGTTATAGCAGTCTGTCAAATTGGATTCAGAAAGGCGTAAATTTGAGAGAAAACAACTTTAACTAAAAATTTATCTTTTTTTTTTTTTTACAAAAGGGATTTTATTTGTATTCACAGACTGGTTTAACTCCACTAATGGAAGCAGCATCCGGAGGGTATGTAGAAGTGGGTCGTGTCTTGTTAGATAAAGGGGCAGATGTAAATGCCCCTCCGGTACCGTCATCGCGTGACACGGCTCTCACTATAGCAGCTGATAAGGGGCATTATAGATTCGTAGAGTTGTTACTGTCCAGGCATGCAGCGGTTGATGTGAAAAATAAAAAAGGCAATTCACCACTGTGGCTTGCATGTAATGGTGAGTGTTTTATATTGTAAATTTTCCACAGTTGTGTAAAAAAGTGATAGTGTTTTGTTGTTGAGGTTTGTGATTATCAATCAAGATGAACATCATTAAAATTTAAATATGTAGGTCCTTGTGCCTGAGGCGTTGCCTTTTAGGGTTGAGGCATCAAAATTGTAGCCACCCTTTAGACTAAACTGGTTCAAATTACTGGATTATATGCATCTCTTAGCTCCAGCAGGTGAGGTGGTTTTGAATCCTGGTGTTGCTTTAAGTTTGTAACATCCAGTGTTAGCAAATATCATCTTTCCTGTTTCATTGTCATATGACCTAAGTTGTGTTGATGTGCCATAAAACCAACAAGACAAATATAATATATGTTTGTCTCTTCAACTCAAAAACAATATTAACAGTAGTCGAAGTTTTCAGGAAAAGCCTATGTTCTCTGCCATTTGTGCTGTATATGTGGTCATTGTTAATATTTATGAAATTAAGATGTGGACATTTTTAAATATTATATTTGGGCATTATGAAAGAGAACTATGTATTTTATAGGCGGACATTTAGACGTGGTTCAGTTATTGGTGACGGCCGGTGCGGATATAGACAGTCAGGATAACCGGAAGGTCTCGTGTCTAATGGCAGCGTTCAGGAAGGGTCATATAAAGGTTGTTAAGTGGATGGTGAAACATGTGAATCAATTCCCATCCGATACTGAACTATCTAGATACATTGCTACCATCACTGATAAGGTAAATACAGTTTCAGTGCATAAAAAAATTTACTTTACAAGAAATTTTAGTTACAGATGAATAATTAATTGGTTTAAATAATAAAGTAAAACTGAGAAGAGTATTAAAATGTATGAAACCATAAGTAAAGATAAGTTTATGATGTCAGATTTCATATATTAAAAGCGTTTTCTCTCTAACTTAGCATCAGATTGTAATCCTGGAGTTGCAGGTTTGATCCACAGGTGTGGTAAAATTTCTCCAGGACATTGAGTCTAATGGTCATTGGTCTCTCACCACTAATTGTTGAGTCAGAAGTCACTTGAGATTAGTAGTCATTTAGTAAATTACTTTAGGCGAAATTGGTAATTACTGGTTAGTTATTCAGGAAAGCAGGTTATGGTATGACCAATAATATGTTAAAATCGACGTAAAACCAGATAAACTTCGGATACAAGCAGTTTCGTAAAGAGTTAAACCAAATGAATCATTTGGGTAATCTTACGAAAATCAGTAAACAAATTGATACCATTTCAATTATTTGGACATACGATACGATATAGATAATTATATGGATGATATATTTTCACAAAGATGATGAAATAAGTAAACTATATTAAACAAACACTTCACCTGTAACTAACAGGATTTGCAGAAGAAATGTCAGCAGTGTATGGAGATAATAGTTAGTGCTAAAGATCGTCAGGCCGCGGAAGCTAACAAGAACGCTACCGATCTATTGGAAGAGCTTGATAAAGAGAGGCAAGAGGAAGAAAGTAGGAAAGCTGCAGCTGCCAAGAAACGAGAGAAAAAGAAAAAGAAGAAAAAGCAGAAGCAAGAGTCTAAGGAGACCGAACAAGGGTAAGGTTTCAAATGAGATTGAGTCTAAAAAAAGATTTGTGTTCCTGTACTCATAGCTTGGCAATGGTTTTTTTTGTGTGACAAAGCTGAGTGATTAGTATTCCTATTCTGTTTTTGTTTGGTCTTGATGAAGGTCAAGTTTGACCGAAACTAGTTGACACTAATAAAATATTGTAAACCTGTGCTGGTGTTGACATGTATTTCTTTTTTAGCTTGAACTTACATTGGTTGACTGTTTTTCTTGTGTAAAAAAGTGGAGAAAATTAAGATTTTGTGATTGCTTTATTACCATATTTTTAATGTACCGGATGGCCAAATATACCAAAGGAACTGACAGTTTTTGTTTATTTCATTTTAACTATAACTCGTATAAATGTTATTTATTTCAGCAGTAATAGTAAGAATTCCACACCTGAACCAGAGTCCGAGGATTCCCAACAGATGGAGGTGGAGAAAGAAAAACTGGAGGAGAAGTTGGTGATACAGCCTCCTTCAGCTACAACAACTTCCACTCTAGGTAAATTACATTAAGGTTTAAAATATGATATTAATGCTTTAAACTGATGATTTTGGGGAGTGTTTATTAGTATTTTAGCAGATGATTTCCTAATCATTTTATTTGAGAAGTGTAACTATAATGTGTGAGATTATGTTTTTTGGAGCATATTCACCCTTGCCACTCTAAATGAAATATCTTAAACATCTTTCCATTAGGGCAAATATTTTTAGGTAAAATTTCAAAGTATATACTGACTGAATAGCAAACAGTGCAGACCATGTTCAGGCAACTCTGATGTGCTGTTTGATGTTGGTTGGTACTGGTTGCATGGGTTTATAAATATTGTGTATATATTTTTTCAGACTTGTACTGCCAGTAGAGTCAGTACAACTGAAAAAGCTATAATGTCTAACCAGATTCTATTCTGTTGATTCTCAGTTTAAGTATTTTTGAAATCCCTTATACTTCTTATTCTGCATGGATAAATTAAATTCTTTGTATTCATTGAAAGTAAAAAAAATAAACTTAAAACATAAGTTTTTAAATGATAAATGACCTCTATATATACATCTTTCTGTTACAGGTCTAAGCTTACCCACTTCAACTGAACCTATCTATACTAAAGCTAAAGGTCGTAACAAAAAATCTGAGAAAAGGAACAGCAAGAATGAGTCTGAAATGAATAACATGGAGGAAGACAGGTTGACTCAAGACGAAAACAAAGATCCACGGAGTAACAAGTCGGATAACTCTTCATCCAGTAACAACAAACTGGAGAGTGTTTCTAAAACGGAGTCGAAGAAAAACAAGAAGAATAGGAAAGAGAGAGAGAAAGATCAGTTACAGACCATCGGGAAGGAAGAGAGTACAGATGAACGGACGCCAAGTCTGGGATCTGGTCGTATCACTGCTCCGGCTGAAAGTGACTCGAGTAATAAAGGAAGGTCGTTAACATCCAGCAATAGGCGGAAAAAAGGCGAGAAAGGACAATTGAATTGCACGACAGGTAAATTATGAAAGTTATAGTAACATTGTTAGTGAGATATGATAATGTAAGATTTTAGTTAAGAGAATTAAAAAAAAAGTTGAGATGCATGATATTGTGATTTCATAATTTATGTTTGATGTGTGCACATCTGTCTGGTTCCGAGATTTTAAAACATCTTACAGATTTGTTTACTGAGGTGAATTCCCTGACCATTATGGTAATTATTGTAAAGTTTTAGAAATAAAATTTTGTTTTCTCTCCATTTCAGCCATTGGGGATTTAGACGACTTTGGTAATCTTCCATCAATATCTGATAAAGACATTGAAAAGCTCAGAAAGAATGTGGAAAAAACCAAAAGTAGTCATGTGTAAGTGCTTTCAGTTTACAGAAACCTATAACCTTGCATGTTGACATTTCTTAAGCTGATATTAAGTGTTGTAATTTTGAATTGTTAGACTATATCCTTATTGAAATATTTTTGACTCTAGGGTTCTGTTATAGACCTTTGGTTAACCCATTACCAGATGCCCTTCTACGCCTTTTTTACCTCCCCCACTTTTGCTTTTTCAAATGGTGAAAAAATGCCTTATTTAGGCCCCGAAACACTTGTTTTTGTTTGAGAAATTTTGTTTAGACAATTGACCACTTTTTAGCGCAGCCCCCCCATCCAAAAGATACGTCAGGGGGTTGCCAGAAGATGTGCCCCCTTCTGTTTGGGGGGGTTTGAAGGGGGCGGATGCCCCCTCATCGCTAAGAAAATTTTGGACTTGTGGGAGGTTAAAAATGGCCCCAGGTCGATCATAAGGTAACGTGTAACCAATGCTGAAAAGCCTTGACTCTATCTCAATCCATTGAGAAGTGGCAGCACTTTGAAATCAATTTTGATGGAAAAAATCTACACCAAATAGTGATATTTGGCAATTTTGAGATGTCCCCTCGTTGCTATGGTAACAGTAAATTTCAGACTGAGCATGTTGTTACAAAGGCAATGGTCCAGTCAACATTTGTGCCAAGTTTGATTAGTATTGAAGCAGTTTTTATAGTTTTATAGCAACTTGAACTTGTAACAGGAGACTATTCAATGAAAACATCCATTTTTCACAAAATGCTCATGGGGTAATGGGTTAAGAGCAATTGCCTGTAAGAACATCTTCTGTTCCACCCGGTTTGAAGTTTTAGGGTTCAAGGTCATTTAGACTTAGGCTTAGAAATGATAAATTACCCTGCTTATTAGTTTGTGGAATGTATTAAGCTATGTCAGAACAACTTAAAGCAACCATATTGTACACTAATAAAAATTTGTTTTCCCTTTAAATTATAAAAAATTAGGCACTACATGTATATTTATACAGTAATGTTAAAATTTTATTGTACTTTCAGGGAGAAAACACCTTATGAAAAGGCCCAGGAGGCAAGCAATCCCAGTATGCTGTCAGTGAAAACCTCGCCTGCTCTTGTGAATAGCCCTAAACGTGGACAGAAAAAGGAAGATGGTTGGAAAGAAGTTATCCGAAAGTAAGTTTTTATAGTTGCATTGAGCTTACAGAAAAAAATCTCCAAGTCTTGAAACCAAAGACAAGCCTTTGTTCATATTTCTAAGTTGCAGTTCTGTTCTTATAAGTCAATGTTTGTGCTTTCTATATGTCTATATCCTTTGATAGTCCTCTTAATAGTTATTGAAGTGGTTTCATTCTTTGTCTGAGAAAAAATAAAATGTTCACATATTTTCTCAACAGAAGCTCAAAGGCCAAGATCTTTGCAGTCCTGTACAAACCTGATGCTACTTGGCACAAAGCTTATGTTTTTGGCATGCAGTGCTGTCTGCTAATCCAGAAAATATTTTAATTTATGCCTATGAAATAACAAGTAGGTCTGTCCCAGTGCTACTTTCATGTGACTAAAGGGGTTGAAAATTAAGATAAAGACTAAAAGGCAGACTTAATATTTTGTTGTATGTTGAATTATGTGGCAGTCTGCAAAATTGCTTTAGATTAAAGTGTTAAGGTCATATGTTTAAAACGAAAATTATCTCCTGTATCTGCAAGGTCCAGTTCTAAGGAACTTATATATTTGGTATGGAACACTGTCTCGGCAATAAATAATGATACTGTTAGAGCAACTTGGACCTGATAAGTAGTTAAGTTGATTTATATTGGTATATATAATCAATTGTATGTCACATGATTTCATTAAAATCATCACCCACATGGCAATCTGTCACCTAGCAGTAAATCACACTTCAAGTTAACTTGGAAAGCTAATGATCTGTACAATTAGTTTACGAGTTATAATTCAAATAATCTTATACTGATAATTTTAAAACTAAAGTTAAATAAATAGAATGTTCAATATTTTATTATATTGATCAGAATTTTTGTGGTGGTATGTTATTGGAGCTTTAAAATATGTGCTGAAATTTGATTTTAGGTCTAAGAAAGTGCAAGTTCCAGCATCGGCCATCAGTCGTGTGATTGGTCGAGGAGGGAGCAATATTAACGCTATTCGGGAAGTTTCGGGAGCAAATATTGATGTAGAGAAGAACAAGGGTTCAGGAGAAAGAACCGTAACAATCAAGTATGTGTTAAAACAATCGTTAAAATGTTCAACAGATGTTACTTTAAGTCTTTTGTTTGTGAACAAGCCACAGTTTATTGAATTGGCAGATGGTGTCATCAGGCAAATGTATCTTTGAAATCTTAAGAGTAATTTAATCAATTAAAAGCTATCGACATAGTTTAAGATTTAATATTTCATACATGTAAGTGTCGGGTGATTGTAATGCAAAAATTTCTAGAAAGAATTGATAGTATAAAGTTTTCATTGGAATAAGGTCAAAATGTAAGTACTAAAATGCCATATGGATGTTCTGAGAGTGGTTCCACTCGCTACATAAAGCTTGGTTCTACATAACTGCATAAATGTCTGTTGTTTAAATTATAGGTGTCGAATATTTATTATGCCCCCACATAGTGGGAGCATATAGCGTTGCACTTGTCCGTCCGTACGTCTGTCCGTCCGTACGTCTGTCCGTCCGTCCATCCGTCCGTACGTCCCAAAATCTTGTGAACGCAACTCCTCTTAAACCGGATGGCAGATTTTGCTTAAACTTTCAGGGATGATCAACCTTAATGTGTAGATGGTAGTAAAGGAAGGAATTTTCGCTGCGACCAAATTTAACCGAATTATGGCCCTTTGTTGATTTTTTTCACCATATACCATATAGAAATTTTGTGAACGCAACTCCTCTTAAACCGGATGGCAGATTTTGCTTAAACTTCCAGGGATGAACAACCTTAATGTGTAGATGGTAGTAAAGGAAGGAATTTTCGCTGTGACCAAATTTAACAGAATTATGGCCCTTTGTTGATTTTTTCACTATATACCACATAGAAATTTTGTGAACACAACTCCTCTTAAACCGGATGGCAGATTTTGCTTAAACTTTCAGGGATGAACAACCTTAATGTGTAGATGGTAGTAAAGGAAGGAATTTTCGCTGCGACCAAATTTAACAGAATTATGGCCCTTTGTTGATTTTTTCACTATATACTATGTAGAAATTTTGTGAATGCAACTCCTCTTAAACCGGATGGCAGATTTTGCTTAAACTTCCAGGGATGAACAACCTTAATGTGTAGATGGTAGTAAAGGAAGGAATTTTTGCGGCGACCAAATTTAATACAATTATGGCCCTTTGTTGATTTTTTAACTATATACCACATATAAGTTGTCAGTGGGGGCATCCGTGTCCTTTGGACACAGTTCTAGTAATTTTGATATATTTAACTTTTTCAGGGGTTCAGCGGAGGCAACAAGACAAGCCCATGCCTTGATCACAGCTTTGATCACTGACCCTGACAAGGAGCTCACTGAAATTTTACCTAAAGCGAAGCAGAAACCTCCCGCTGAAAACAAGAGTTTGTATTTTATCCCTCCTAGTGATAACCTGATGCCTACCAGCGGTCCAACGTCGCAGTCTAGTGGTACGTCTCAGCAAAAATCTTCAAATAAAACTCTAGCACCTAGACTACAACAGCAGGCTGCTATGACGAGTGGAAATGTAGCAAGGTCAATAGGTCAAGGTCAGAGCATGCAAAGTGCTGGAATGGTTTGGGGAAGCTCTCCGGCGCCAGGTTCTGTATCGCCTCGTAGAAGTGTGGGTAAAGTTTCAGCTGGAGCACCGTATCCTGTTCCTGTTGCAATGAATGGTCCATTATCGGTTGATAAGTCGAATGTTACAAGGCAGTTGTTTTCAGGGCCAGTTCCCGAGCGTAGAGGTGGATTTGGGAGTCCATCTGCTGCAACAACTGTTGTGACTATGTCAAATGTTGCAGGTCCAATACCAGCCTCTCCGCCAACAATTTACAGACCGGATGGTAGATTACAACACCATAGTCGAGGTAACAGTCAGGGGAAAATTTGGGCCCTGGGAAAGGAAAGGTTTCAGAGACCATTTTCTGGTTTCACCAAAACATGAGCCTCAACCACTCCAATATTTTAACCAGTCACTTTCAACTATCACCACTAGACTTTCATCGGGTAATACCAGTCTTTAAAAAAGGGCATCATTGGGTTCTCCCGTTTGTAACTTTTTTAAATGCTTGAGACTCCTAGGCAAAAAAGATGACAAACCCTTTAAAAGAAGAATGAATTTTTCCAGTGTTTCAGCAGCCCGGGGTTTTTCCCACGTTTTTTGGAAGCACACCATTTCACCAAACCAAAAATCTCCCGATTGCTTTACAGGCTAAGGACCCGGGGTTAAACCCTTTAGGGATACCAGTGGGCCGAGAATGATGTCACCCCAGGATATGAACCCAGGTTTTAGAGCACCGGGATTCCCAATGCCTTTACAAATGATGGAGATGAATATGCCAATGCAAGGATTTCCAGGTTCACAGGGTTTTCAAGGTTTCACTGGTCCGCAAATGCACCAGGTTTTTCAGAATCAAAGTCCGGACATGTCACCAAGATCTAGTCAGTCCAGTACAGCTGGCCTGTCACCTCGTTCTAATAGTTCTGGGTTTGATCCTCAAATGGCTGCCAACCAGAAAGAAGAATATACAACTCCTAATCAGCCTATGACACTGCCTAAGATCAATAGTTCTCTGAATCCTAATGCACCAGATTTTACTTCAAGATCAATACCTGGTGGGAACCCATTTCAAGTTCCTGGTGGCCCTCCAAACTTTCAAGGTGCAGGATTTTCCGTTCCTCCTATGTACCAGCATGAATTGGCAAAACAACTCCTGTCCGTTTTTAACAACCTAGGACCTAGTCAGGGTAACCCTTTAAGAGCCCATCCTAGCCGGGCAAGGGAAACCCGGGGAAATCCATTTTATGGGAGTCAACAAAACCCCCCAAAAAGGTTTACCAGAAATGGGCCAAACTTGTACAACCCTTTGCATCTGGCAAAAAACCCGCACCCGGAATCCCGGGCCCCTCGGGAATTTTTTTTCACCTCCGTAGCACCTAGGGCCCTTTTCCCAAATTTCCATGCAAGGGAGACCAGTAGTGCACCATCTGGAGGGGAATGCTTCCCAAAAGGGAATATTTTTTTTAACAAAATTTTACACAAACTTTAATTTATATTTGTTTAAAAATTTATTTTTATGCCCCCATTTTGAAAAAAACGGCCTATATTGCCTTTTCACTTGTCGGGCCCTAGACCAAAAGGTTTTCCCCCATTTAACAAAACCCTTTTGGGCCAGGAAAATTCAAACTTGTATGGTGATTGGTCATGACCAGTAGATGACCCCTATTGATTTTGGGGTCAAGGGGTCAAAGTCAAGGTCACATTGACCTTGAAAGCAAAAAACGGTTGCCGATCAATAACTAAAGAACCTTAAGGCCTAGGAACTTCAAACTTGGTATGGTGATTGGTCATGATCAGTAGATGACCCCTATTGATTTTTGGGTCAAGGGTCAAAGGTCAAGGTCACATTGACCTTGAAAGCAAAAACGGTTTCCGATCAATAACTAAAGAACCTTAAGGCCTAGGAACATCAAACTTGGTATGGTGATTGGTCATGATCAGTAGATGACCCCTATTGATTTTGGGGTCAAAGGTCAAGGTCACATTGACCTCTTAGGTAAAAACGGTTTCCGATCAATAACTAAAGAACCCTTAGGCCTAGGAACTTCAAACTTGGTATGGTGATTGGTCATGACCAGCAGATGACCCCTATTGATTTTGGGATTAAGGGGTTAAAGGGCAAGGTCACATTGACCTTGTAGGTAAAAATGCTTTCCGATCAATAACTTAAGAACCCTTATGCCTATGAACTTCAAACTTGGTATGGTGATTGGTCATGACCAGCAGATGACCTATTGATTTTGGGGCCAAGGGGTCAAAGGTCAAGGTCACATTGACCTTGAAGGTAAAAACGGTTTCTGATCAATTAACTAAAAACTCTTAGGCCTAGGAACTTCAAACTTTTGTGTGATGATTGGTCATGACCAGCAGATGACCCCTATTGAGTTTTAGGTGAAGGGGTCAAAGGTCAAGGTCACATTGACCTTGTAAGTAAAAACGGTTTCTGATCAATAACTCAAGAACGCTTAGGCCTAGGAACTTCAAACTTGGTATGGTGATTTGTCATGACCAGCAGATTTATCCTATTGATTTGGGATCAAGGGGTCAAAGGTCAAGGTCACAATGACATTGTAAGTAAAAACAGTTTCTGATCAATAACTAAAGAAGGCTTCGGCCTAGGAACTTCAAACTTGGCATGGTGATTTGGTCATGACCAGCAGATGACCCCTATTGATTTTGGGGTCAAAGGTCAAGGTCACATTGACCTTGTATGTTAAAACGGTTTCCGATCAATAATAAGAGAACCCTTAGGCCTAGGAACTTCAAACTTGGCATGGTGATTGGTCATGACCAGCAGATGACCCCTATTGATTTTGGGTCAAGGGGGCAAAAGGGCAAGGGCCCCATTGACTTTAGGTTAAAAACGGTTTCTTATCCAAATTTTCTAAAAAAGCCTGGGCCCAGGAAAATTCCAAAATTTGTATGATGATGGTCCCTACCCAGAATACCCTATTTAGTTTTGGGTCAAGGTGGCAAATCAAGGCATGACCAGTAAAAACTTTTTTAAAACCCTTTTAATTGTTTTATCACTGGGTCAGAAGTCATGCATAATAACCTTATCACATGACTAATTGGCTGCTGATAGGGGGCATACATGTTTTACAAACATATCTTGTTTTACTTGTGTAATGCATGGTAGATTTAGTTGGTGTATAATTCAGCTTACAGCAGTTTGCACAAGTTTCTGTAGTTAATATTTACTTTACTTTTTAAATAGGGAAAAATACATGATTTTTGAACATTGTAAAATATCATCGATAAATCTTTTTAATTTATTTCCCGAAGGGGGCATACCTCACCTAAATTGGGCCACCCCGTCTACTCTCCTTTTCCCCCCCTCTACACCCCCCATGCCGACATGATCAACCTTTAAAATGGATGATAACGGCAAAACCCCGCCCTATAGGTGGAAAAGAAACACACAGGGAAAACACCAGGCCCCAAAACTAAGGTTTGATATGGAGAACATTCTGAAAATATCCCCCAAAGGGCCTGGTTTTAAATAAAGCCTATGTTTCTTTTCATTTAAAAATTTTTCAACTTTTTGAATCTTTTATCTTTAAAATATTTTTTTATGTTTAAATTTTTTTAAAATAATTTTTTCTTTAGTATAAGGGAAAAGTGCTTAAGTTGTTGAAAAATGATTTATATTTCTTTAGCCTGAAAATTACCTATTGGGATGAACAAAATTTTAAAAGATACTTTAAAATATAAAATTTGGTTTAATTTTTTTATTACTGTGAATAAATCTGAAATTCTTCCAAGTACAAATTGCTCCAATACTTATTACATCATTTGATAGAACTGGGAATGGATTGGAATTCTAAAGTAGCAGCTCCAGGTGTGACCACAGCTTCATTACAGACCTCTGTCATCTCTACGTCTGTAATTGCAGGGAGCACCATGTCCACCAATCCTGGACCAGGCGGTGATGCTAGGGTACCAAATCTGGATAATCACAGTCCTGGACATTCAGAAGACTTGTCAGATCCAAACTTCTCTCAATATGGCCAGGTAAGTTTATCAATTTTATGATCTATCAGTTTTATGGTGGTTTTTAGCTCAACTATACAAAGTATATGGAGAGCTGTCCTACTCTCCCCTTCCAGATTTCAGAGCATTAAAATATTTTTCACTATAACTTTTCATTTCCTAAGGTATCAACTTCAAATATATGTTCTTTATCATCAACCACATCTTATGTGACAAGGTTCATAACTCTAGCACCAATATTTTTAGATTAATCTCCCCTTGAACTTAGAATTTTCCTTGAAAAATAATATTTTTTACTGTTTAGTATGTATAGAACACTAATACCGCAAAAGTAATTTTTGTAAAGTCATTGTCTTTAGATATTTTTTATAAATATATGGATGCTTATTTTCTGCATATCCTTGTTCAGAGTTTTTTTTAGGTCACTGACTTAATTTAGACTTGTGTATAAAATACTGTTTCCTTAATGTTTGAATTGTCTGCAGAGAAAAGCTTCACAATCATGCTTAAATATGATTTTTGTGTCGCCTCTACGGAGTAGTGGCGACATATAGGGATCACTTCTCCGTCGTCTGTCTGTCCGTCTGTCTGTCTGTCTGTCCGTCTGTCCGTCACAAAACTTGTCCGGACTACTCCTCATAAACTACTGGTGCAATTTCATCCAAACTTTACAGGAATGATCAGTACCAAGTCTAGTTGTGCATATTGTCAGGATTTTCCGGTTCAATGATTTTTGTCAGAGTTATGGCCCTTTAATAATTTTTAATTTTAAAGTTTGTCCGGACTACTTCTCTTATACCACTAATGCAATTTCAATGAAACTTTACAGGATTGATCTGTAGCTCAAGTCTTTGCGCATATTGCACGGGTTTTCCGGTTGAATGATTTTTGGCCGAGTTATGGCCCTTTGATAAAAAGGTTTCTTTTTCTGTGTGTTGCCAGATACACAAAAGCTTGTCCGGACTACTCCTCATAAACTACTGGTGCAATTTCATCCAAACTTTACAGGAATGATCAGTACCAAGTCTAGTTGTGCATATTGTCAGCATTTTTTCGGTTCAATGATTTTTGTTTGAGTTATGGCCCTTTAATAATTTTTATTTTTAAAGTTTGTCCAGACTACTTCTCTTATACCACTAATGCAATTTCAATGAAACTTTACAGGATTGATCTGTAGCTCAAGTCCTTGCACATATTGCACGGGTTTTTCGGTTGAATGATTTTTGGCCGAGTTATGGCCCTTTGATAAAAAGGTGTTTTTTTCTGTGTGTTGCCAGATACGCAAAAGCTTGTCCGGACTATTCCTCATAAACTACTGGTGCAATTTTATCCAAACTTTACAGGAATGATCAGTACAAAGTCTAGTTGTGCACTGTCTGTCTGTCAGTCCGTCTGTCACAAAATTTGTCCCAACATGAAATTGGCCATCATGAGGCGACACATGTGATTACTGATCGCTCTTGTATTTCAGAGTTCTGGTTTACCACCAATGCCTTTGTTCAATGGTGTTGGAAGTTCATATCCGTCTGGTGGGTTTGGTAATGGAGGAGACAGTCTGCCAAGCATGTGGAGTCCATCAGTGGAGACCCCGAATTCGGAGGAAATCCACGAATCGGGGGTGAGTGGCAAGAAAAAGGTATAGTAAGGGCCGTGAATAATTGTTGTGGCGTTAACATTTCTGATGGTGATGGTCGAGTAACTTGAATGTTGTGGTACCTCTGTTAAAAATGTTACATTTTGATACATATAGTCTTCCGATGATAATTTAGCTTTATTGTGGAAGTTTTGCAATGTTACTTGCAAATGGTTAATGTTGATAAACAATGATACATATTCTTTTAAGCAGATTATTATTGAGCCCTTAGAGCCTGAGAATTACATTTCATTTTCACTACACAATAAATGTGTCTGACTTATCACTGACACTATATCACTGTTGCATACCTGTTAAGGACTTTACATTCTGTCGGTTGAGGGAGCTCTCTGCATAGCTTTCAGGAGGTTGGTGGTTTTACTTTTGTTTCCATGCATTTCAGATGTAATTAATGTATCTGTACATCAAAACTACCTCCGCCATTTTAAAAGGTGAAAAGTCTGCATATAACGACAAGTATTATGTGACTTACAAAACCTCATCTATTATCTAATGTCCGGGATGAACCGTTAGCCTGACATTTTATATATCAAGGAGAAAAAAATATTTAAATTTACGCTGATTTTTTAGAAAACATTATCAATTTTTTTGCAATGATTGTTTAAAAGGTATGTAGATGCTTATTTGATAGGTATTACTAATATGCTAAAGGTCTGCAGGTGGATTGAATTTGTCATATAAGAAATTTTAATATTTAATTTTAACTGATATAGGTCATAACTAGAAATATTTGTGTCATATTGTGCCATGTCCAATTTTATTGTTGAACATTTATTGGAAAAAAAATGATGTCAAGTAATAAAGTTTTTTCTTTGGTTTGTTTTTACAGATGTGGAACTGGAGCAAATGACAAGAGGTTTCTGGGAGTTGTGTGCCACCTCGGCCAGTCTGGTGTGTGTGAAAGCTTGCTTTTATGGGGATTGCCCGTGCGTTAGAGCTTGTCACAAAGAATTTACTCGAACTTTGTCCCATCACCTGATTTACTACTTTTATTACATCTTTATCCCTTTTTCTCTCATTTTACACCTTATATAAACATGTTATAATAACAAATGGGAGTAGTCTATAGAGAAAAAAAAATCAGATCATTTTTATTATTATAATTATTTACTTGTTTTCTGATGATTTCTTATTTAAAAATTGTCGATATATATAATATTTGACGGGTTATTTTACTTCTTTCAATGCTTTGGTGATTTAGTTAGAGATAACATACAGTTAGTGCATGTTTCCGTGAGTCGTAAAAGAATATATGAATTTATAAATACATACACGAGGTGAAACATCTCAAAATGAAAAATTGATATTTTCCCCCAAAACAAGACGATCAATAATTAATGGGGGGAAAAAATGGAAATTGCCGCAAACTTTTGAATTAAGATATTTTGTGTGTTTAGATTTTGATGTTGTTTAGTGAAAATCTTCGTTGATAAACAAAAATTTGTAATTTAAAAAAAAAAGACTACTATGCTATTTTGAACGGTCATAGGAAAATCGTGACATTAGATTTTAAACTTGCAATGTGGTTCATTCTGATGTGGAGTGATCACATGTAGGTGAATCGGAGTGCTACATTGTCGTTAGGAAGGCGAGGGGCAATACTGTATAGATGTAGAAAAATTTTCATTTCATATTGACTATTGACTTTTTCTCAATACTTGTGATACTGGATGTAGACACGAAACATTAGTGGTTGTTACTAATGTTACAGAATGATTTAGCAGGTGGAAGTTACTCCCCTTGTTTTCTGTTGCCTTTTGTGCTGAATGGTTACCAAGCGGGATTAACTCCCCTTGTTTTCTGTTGCCTTTTGTGCTGAATGGTTACCAAGCGGGATTAACTCCCCTTGTTCTTTTTTCTGTTATTTAACAGAATGCTTAGCATTTTCCCTCTGATTATAGAGAATGTACGTTGTATATTATTCTGATACATGAATAAAATAATTGCATTGACTTAATATTGGTTTGTATTTTGTTCTTTGACAATTTCTTATTGAAGAGCACCTTTTGATAAGGTTAATTTAGGTAAGCAAGGAGACTTAGCTCTGCTTTTCAAAGAAAGAAAAAATGGTAGTATTGTCATTACCGGTCTGCATTGGTTAAGTTTTTTGTTTATGGTCATAAACATAAATTATTTATAAATGTATAACATTGAAACTTCATGTGTGGGCTTACTTGTTCATTCAACTATTTTTACCCAAAAAGGGCCAAAAAAAAATTTTTAATTTTCCCCAAAAAATTTTTTTTTTAAAAGGTTTTGCCTCTAGCCAAAATTTTGTCCCTAAACTTTTTTTACTTTAGTTTTGATTTTTCAAAAAAATATAAAAAAAAAACACCTTTTAATTTATTACAAAAATTTTGGAATGCAATTTTAAAGGAAAAAGTGCTGTTGAAAGGGTAGGAAAAATATTGGGACTGATTTGAACCTATAAATATGGGGTTGGCAGGACTACAGTTATGCTTAAAATAAGTCATTCACTTTCAGTAAAATTTTATGAGGCTGGGTAACATTGTGCAGACTAAACTTGCAAGCCAAATATAAACAGAATTTTATACTTCAAAAGTTACACTTGAAATATTCCTTTTTTAAAGGGGGATACTTATTAAAAATTATTTAAAAGGGGCTTGACCCTGTTTTTATTAAAAAATTTTTCATGCAAAATTTTAAACCCATAAAACTGCCAAAAGTTAAAAACCACTTAAAAAGGGGATTAACCAAAAATAATTTATTTTTATGAATTCAATTTTAAATTTCCCCCAAAAAAATACCCCGAAATCCTTCAAAAGTTATGCGGGGGAAAAAATTTTTCGGCAACATTTAACCCTTAAATCTGGGTTTTTCGGTTTTAAATTTTTAATTTAAAAAAACAAAGGGCAAATACATTTGACAGACTGTTTTGGTTTCTAAGGTAAACCAAAAAATTCTTGAATGAACAATGACGACAACTTCTAAAATCAGACTGATAACATTTCCATAACGTAATTTAGCGTAATAAAATAAAAGCAACAATATTTAATCACACTGTGTTCACTACAATGTACACAATTTAATACCACATTGAACATAAAAATACATACATGTACAATGTAAATGTAATTTCATTGCGTATCAAATTACAAAAATGGTACCAAACAGCAAATGCTCCCTGAAACATGTATGCACGTAAAACTATGCAAATATACAACACTGATATCTGTTACAGAATAATGTAAATGGTGAACATTTATAATGTTGACAAATTTTGGAGCAAAGAATCATTTTCGTAAAATGATTGTATTTGTTTACATGAATGATGGTAATTCAGTTTTTTTCAAACCGTGTAATGGTATAAATGAGCCGCGTCATGACAAAACCAACATAGTGCGTTTGCGACCAACATGGATCCAGACCAGCCTGCGCAGTCTGATCAGGATCCATGCTGTTCGCTTACAAACTCTAAAATAAGTAGAGAAACCAATAGTGAACAGCATGGATCCTGATCAGACTGCACGGATGTGCAGGCTGGTCTGGATCCATGCTGGTCCCAAAGGCATTATTTTGGTTTTGTCATGACGCGGCTCAAATGGTAAATACATTGAAGATGAAGACAAGTAATATACAATTTTGAATTTGCTACTTCATAGACTATAAAACGTACAGTTAGTCAAATACTTCTATCACAAGCTGGACATGTTTCAATTCCGTTAATATCTTATTTGTAACACCAAATGGAAGCAATTTACACATTATTAATGACACTTGCAACCCATGTAAACTACCAAAAATTGGTCAAAATATACAAAATTTGCCCTTATTGCAATAGTATATAAGTATAAACATGTACAGTTGCTAATACTGAAAATCATTAATCACACATTACTAGTAAATTATTACTTGAATCTTTTTACTTTTCCTAAAATCTTAGGCAATTTTCCTCAAATTTAATTTTCTTTTTTAAATATTCTGGCTCAACTGGAGGCATGTGGCATTAACAACATCTATAATCTGTTAAGGTATTGACCAAAACCAGGATTTAGTACAAAATGAAGTCCCAACCTTGAAATGGCACTGACAAAAATCTTGTTCATTAACGACTATCAAATCATTAAAAACCTTTATACTGTAGAAATGCTACTATTGACACCTGCTTGCAAAATTACATAGGTAAGTTTGAAGAAACTAATTTTTTTCTATAGGTATCTAGTAATTTTCAGTTTTATCCATTACACATCTTGGTTTTCTCGTATTTTAGATCAAGCATTTCTCTCTGATGGTTTTTTGTAGGTCATGTCAAGGTAATCAAATATATCTTCCTCTGATTCTACAGGCAACGGCTCTCCTGGTACCCCTGAAATAATTATTTTTTTTTATGTCAAATGCTCTTTTCTGTTGATGTATCGACTTCAGAACTGAAGTAAATATGTTTATTTGGTTGCAATGACGATACAGAAATTATGATGAGAATCTATATCAATAAGGCTGTTAAGAGAGGGACATGGCTGAGTGGTTAACGTGTCGGACTAGTAACCTTAGTATTGCTGTCTGTGTGGGTTCAAGTCCAATCGGGGACAAGGCGATGTTTCCTCGAGTAAGAAACTACACTCGTTGCTTAGTACTGGTTGATTGGCTACTAACAGAGTAAGAGAAATTCTGTATATTTTTGACAACATAAGGTGAGAAGTGCCCTAGGCCAAGTACAATCTCATTTTGTGTGATTTTTACATAATTTATATTAATTAAGAACAATTACAATTCTGTAAAGATTAAAACATATCTGAAGATGTTTCTGCTGTAACCTGCCGAATTTCTTGAATGGACTTGTCCGATTTCCATTTTAAAACAGCCCATTACCAATTTTAGGGATGTTACTATGAAAATTTGGAAGTTGATAGACAATAGAACAATTTCAGACCTCACATTTTTGGTTCTATACTGACAGGAAAGACTAAGTATGAAACTGTACTGATAAACTTGTAAGAAATAGTGTTGCACCATCAATTTAACACACCATAGTTCATACTTGTTTTGTTTGTTTTGTTTTTTTTCCCCCAGAAAACTGAAGGAGATTTTAAAAATTATTTTCCTAGAACATATAACTGAAACACCATTAACTGCACTTCTTGGCCAAACTGACATGAGATAAGCAGTTAATTAAATGGTGTCCCCCACCAAATTAATAATTAAAATTTATTTTTTATCAATTCAGGGGCAATAACTCGTGAAAAATAGAAGGGAAATGATTCCAAGAATACCAGGTAGGTTAAAAAAAACTGCATAAAGAGGGTTAGCCTAAAGGACGGAGTGTATACAGAGAAAATATAATACCTGTACTTCCTAAAGGACGGAGTGTATATTCGTTGAGAGTAAATCCTTTTTCTAGAGCCACTCCTCTCATATCTTTGTTAAACATATCACTGCCAGTAAAATACAGTAGAGCACAGTAATATTGATCATATGGTAGTAGTCGGATATCTATACGTCTAAATGCATACTTCTTGTCATCTGTGTCAGGCATCTTACATACACCCTGAAATGTGTAACATATATTTTGTGTAGTCTATAATACTGCATGTTTGTAAAAATGACTTTCATTTGACAAAAGTGCCATACACATGATTCAAATCATCTAAACTGCTACAAGAAATTTCTTTTATGCAATTATACTTCATGCAATTCTCTTAAACTGAATTTAATGACATGAAATCTCTGCAAAGAGACCCTGTACAACCTCTTTGCCTGCCATAGGGTGTTGCCTTGAAGAAGTTGAAGTATATTTTAAATTTTAAAAAAGCAACTTTAAAGACTTATGACAGATATATTGATCATGTACAGTATAGACAATCATCTGATATTGAACCAATCTGCCTGTAACAGGTACAGCATTGGATTTGTGATCCAGTGGAAGCTGAATCCTAGGACAAGGTGAAAAAATCTCTGTGACAAATGACCGCAGATATTGGCTTTATTGGTCATTTGCTGCTTACTACAAATTTAGAGATCACAAGGGATTATTAGTCATTGGGTAATTACTGTATAGTTATCCAGGAAAAGTCAGGTAGGTTAAGTTTTACATTGCAACAACACAGTATAGGTCATATGGCAACTTTCCAGCTTTTACTGGTGGAGGAAGACCTCAGGTGCCCCTCCATGCACTATTTCAGACACAAGCGAGTGCCTGAGTATTATATTTCTTCTAAACAGAATACAGGGCAAATACCAGATTATTTTTTTTCAAGTATGCCTGAATGAATTTGTGAGTGTTTCAATAAGCTTATAGCTTCCAACACAAACTAAAATAAATTTGTATAAACTAAATGCTAGGATGCCGTACACTAATCATTATACCCTGCCTTCATATTATTTTATATATTAACCTAATGTTTCATTCTGGATGAAAGAAAAACAAATCATTTAAACAAAAGTCATCACATTACCATAAACTTGGAATCACCCAGAGATAACCTGTCTGTTATAAACTTTATCTCTTCTAGCTGCTCCACAACATTCTTCAACAACTCTGGCTGAAAACATACAAGATAAATTACATAATATTAGTGTATTTGAAAAATTTCAAATATAATATGTAAATAACAAATGAAAGCAAATCAAGAAATGCTTGCAGTTTGTCCAAGAACATTATGGTAGACTATTACGAGCGTATAGTGTTCCAGCAAACTGACACAATCTCATTAAATTAACAGAAATGGCTGTCTGCCAAGTCTTTCAAATCTGTAAAACATAAATGTAAATTAATAACTTGTTTGCAGTGTTTCAACAAATGTCTAATTAAACAGAACATTGTTGCCTGTCGTAACTGTATAAACTAGATGCAGGACAGAGTGCTACTTGAGTTACAATCATGTTTCTTAATATGAATACAGGCCAAGAGGTTTTAAAACTGTTTTTTGAGTTCTGTCTCAAATCTTAGGATTTTCATTGGTCAGTGTACATTCTGTGGAAGTTTCCGACTAATCAAATACCAGAGATTTGAGTTTAAGCTAAAAGAATTTCTTTATTACCTTTGACTCGGTACTTTAATATAAGGAAGCAGACAGCAGTAGTGTTTTAAATTAACTACAAGCTTTCTATACAGCTTAGCTTAAGATAATAATTTCTGAACCCATCTATTTGTACATATGATTGTTTGCCAGCCTTTATAACACAAAACATACCATTTTCTTCGAGGTAGATGTAAATGAAGAATGTGACAGAAGGATATCAATATCACCACTAGATTCAGCTCCTGAAATAATTTAATTAACAGTGTTCTATATAAATCAATGTGACCTTTATAACATGATAAGAGTCTTAAATTAGTTAAAAACACAGAAGAGCCTTTAGGCCAGGTGGTTGATGTCTCTTTAATACACTAGTTCTTCATAGCCCTTTTTTGCTTTGGGTTTGAATCCCACTTTCATGTCAAGAATGTATCCATCACTTTCTCCTCAAGAGTCCCCTTGTTACTAGAATAATGCATAGAGGTCTTTGTTCATCATACAACTTTTACATCGTCATTAAATCAGCACCCCTCCCCCTAACTTCCTAAAAATAATCAACACTAGGGCAGTTGACAGGCCTACATCACAGGTATTTAGCCATGAGGATGTTAATAATTTTAGTAGCATAATTTTAGTATCTGTCAATGAAATTTCTCTCTATTTTTTTCAATGTAAAAAAGGTATATGAAAATGTAGTAACCATTTTCTTTGCTGTTTTTTTTCCTGTCCATTAGCAGTTCCACAGGTACAGGTAGTATAATAAAGAAGTCTTTTACATGGAGCAGTTTGAGGGATTTCAAAATGAAATGAGCCGTGCCATGACAAAACTGTTAACCAACATAGTGTGTTTGTGACCAGCATGGATCCAGACTAGCATGTGCATCCGTGCAGTCTGATCAGGATCCATGCTGTTTGCTATCAGTTTCTCTACTTGTAATAGGGTCTGTAAGCAAAAAGCATGGATCCTGATCACACTGCCCGAAAAAGCACAGCCTGGTCTGGATCCATGCTGGTCGCAAACGCACTATGTTGGTTTTATAATGGTGCCGCTCAAATACATGTACCGGTAGTATAATAAAGAAGTGTATTACATGGAGAGCAAGCTGTCCTCATCCTATACTGATAGTTATCTATGATAGCACTCATAGAACTGATGAAAGCTTGCTATATTTGTATTCTCCTGATCAAAATAAGTATGTTATTACAGTCAAGCTTACCTCGTCTAAAACTGCCACAAACTTTTGCCCTGTAGTCTGGACTTAGTTTAATAATTTCACCAAATGCCTTATCCTGAAGGTATCAACAAATTATATTTATAGGTAATGTATCTATAAAATCGGAAAGTATTATACAATATATTATTACAGCCAAGTTATGATCAAGTATAGCACAAGAAAAAAATATACAAAAAAACTTAATAACTTATGCTGTACAAGAAAAAATTCTCTCTAAGTGTTATCTATCAGCCACTCTTCCTATCAACATGTCTTTCTTTATTACAAGTTCATGTTATATTTGGATATAAATGTGTAGAACCATTTCAATATAATAAGCATTTTACAATATACATGCATATATACTTAAACATTTTTTTCTCAGAATGCATTACCTCCAAAGTATATCAGATAACATAAAAGTGATGTTAGTAATGATGACATATATGTATATGCAGACAAGCTGAAAAGAACAGCCCTTGTTTGGATGATGCAGGGTTAGCCAAAGGTAAAAGCTACTGGTCTAAAAACTTAATGCTTTATAAGCTTAGAACATCTGCAGTGTACTCACCTGAAGGGCAACCATTTCTTCTCGTGGAATTCTCTTTTCAAAATCTTCAAAATGCCTACAAAACCACAAATAAATTTCCAAGCATTACAAAATAGCTATGACTCAAAACATATGTACATTGTAAAAACCATGTCTAAAGATTAACAGACATAATTATTGGCATATCAAAAACTACAAAGCACAGACGGCCTTAAGTTGCTTTCCACTGATACTTCACATTGACCAAACTTGTTTGATTATTGTAGATGGCCAAACTGAACTAGCTGTTTTTGTGAGATAATAAATTTTCTAATTGAGGAAGCAATAGATTTGTTTGCAATCATTGGCAATCATATTCCTAATGGTAAGTTGAAAAAAGTGCTACCTGTAGTAAGATTTGTTCCTCAATCTGAAGAAAAAATACTCTAATACGTTTACACCTGATAATAACCAAAAAAGAAGTGGTAAGATTCTATTTTAAAGAAACTGATCATCATTTTATGACTAAAAAATCAGTCAAACCTGGTCAATAGTATTAAACCTGGTCAATAGTATAAAACCTGGTCAATAGTATAAAACCTGGTCAATAGTATAAAACCTGGTCAATAGTATTAAACCTGGTCAAAAGTATTAAACCTGGTCAATAGTATCAAATCTGATCAATAGTATAAAACCTGGTCAATAGTATTAAACCTGGTCAATAGTATTAAACCTGGTCAATAGTATAAAACCTGGTCAATAGTATTAAACCTGGTCAATAGTATAAAACCTGGTCGAAAGTATTAAACCTGGTCGAAAGTATTAAACCTGGTCAATAGTATAAAACCTGATCAATAGTATTAAACCTGGTCAATAGTATTAAACCTGGTCAATAGTATAAAACCTGGTCAACAGTATAAAACCTGGTCAATAGTATTAAACCTGGTCAAAAGTATTAAACCTGGTCAATAGTATAAAACCTGGTCAATAGTATAAAACCTGGTCAATAGTATTAAACCTGGTCAATAGTATTAAACCTGGTCAATAGTATAAAACCTGGTCAATAGTATTAAACCTGGTCAATAGTATTAAACCTGGTCAATAGTATAAAACCTGGTCAATAGTATAAAACCTGGTCAATAGTATTAAACCTGATCAATAGTATTAAACCTGGTCAAAAGTATTAATCCTGGTCAATAGTATTAAACCTGTTCAATAGTATAAATCCTGGTCTATAGTATAAAATCTGGTCAATAGTATTAAACCTGGTCAAAAGTATTAAACCTGGTCAATAGTATCAAATCTGATCAATAGTATAAAACCTGGTCAAAAGTATTAAACCTGGTCAATAGTATAAAACCTGATCAATAGTATTAAACCTGGTCAATAGTATAAATCCTGGTCAATAGTATAAAATCTGGTCAATAGTATTAAACCTGGTCAAAAGTATTAAACCTGGTCAATAGTATCAAATCTGATCAATAGTATAAAACCTGGTCAATAGTATTAAACCTGGTCAATAGTATAAAACCTGATCAATAGTATTAAACCTGGTCAAAAGTATTAAACCTGGTCAATAGTATCAAATCTGATCAATAGTATAAAACCTGGTCAATAGTATTAAACCTGGTCAATAGTATAAAACCTGATCAATAGTATTAAACCTGGTCAAAAGTATTAATCCTGGTCAATAGTATTAAACCTGGTCAATAGTATAAATCCTGGTCAATAGTATAAAATCTGGTCAATAGTATTAAACCTGGTCAAAAGTATTAAACCTGGTCAATAGTATCAAATCTGGTCAATAGTATAAAACCTGGTCAATAGTATAAAATCTGGTCAATAGTATTAAACCTGGTCAAAAGTATTAAACCTGGTCAATAGTATAAAATCTGATCAATAATATAAAACCTGGTCAATAGTATAAAACCTGGTCAATAGTATAAAACCTGGTCAATAGTATTAAACCTGGTCAATAGTATTAAACCTGGTCTATAGTATAAAACCTGGTCAATAGTATTAAAGATCCTGTAACACAATTTATTATGGTTTTATATCATAAAGATGATATTCAAATTAAGATTGATCAATTTTGTAAGTTCCAAAAAGCTTTATTTATAAAGATATTACTGAATTTAACATTTCATGTAAATAAAGGAGGTAATAAAAAATTCATTTTCTATAAAGTCTAAGTCAAATTTTTCATTAAGAAATTAATGCATATATTTTAATGATTACATATAATATGTACAAATATTTGCAGTACATATTTTATATATTCTTTGATGTTTTAAAATTGTTTCATAAGCATAATTATATACATATATATAATTTCACTTAAGTGTGGTATACAACCTCAGTTACAACCTACAGGATCTTTAAACCTAGTCAGACTAGGCAGAACCGGCTCTATATTGCTGGAAAGATTTGTTCATATTACGTTCGAGAATTGTTAAAAACTTAACTTACTTCAGACCAATCTGCTGATGATGGTTCAGCTTATCCGTATGTTTCCTAAGATCTGAAATTATATTACACAGTAAGTCACAAGGCTATAATATGTGTGTACTTTACTTTATTTGTAACTCCTTTAGCTTATTTTGTAACCAGTCTTTTACCGATATTCTAGGATAAAGTTGCATACATGTTTCTCTATATTCTAGATCTTAACCAATCTAAGTGCCTTCTTTGTGTTACTGCAACCTTTCCACATCAACTTACACCAACACTGGAGTGACATGGGTTATGTGGAATGAAGTCTTTAACATTAAAATATCTAATGCCTTGGACTCAAACTGATAAGCCTAAGACCAACACATCCATCAATATCCCAACTTGGTCAACTTCACATACATTAACATGTCAGATCATTCTTCTAGAATATCTCAGCAGTTTGGGAACATGACTTGACCCCCAGAATTGGAAATTGTTACGATGTTACAGATAATTGTTACGATGTTTCAGATAATTGTTACGATGTTTCAGATAATTGTTACGATGTTTCAGATAATTGTTACGATGTTTCAGATAATTGTTACGATGTTTCAGACAATTTGAACTTTGGGAGCATGACCCAATATCGGTCATAAAAATGGGCCGGAAAAAACCTTGAACATCATTGTATTCTTAACTGTCATAAATTTCATAATTTTTTCATATTTGTCTTTTAAACAAGAGATCATTTTAATTGAATTTCCAAAACTACATAAATTTAACACTAAGTACAAATCTATTTCATGTAATATGTATCATATATAAAATCTCAGTTAAGAATATTCTTACTAAACTTTCAAATACATGTACATTGTATCATTTAATTAACCTGTCCCAACTATGCATCATTTACCAGGTAATTTTTTCTGGACTGAATTTTTCACCTTGCACACTGACAATATTCCATAAAACCTTTGGAAGCTCTTAGTAGACTGACAATATTCTATAAATGTTGCAGTTTGCAGACTGACAATATTCTATAAATGTTGCAGTTTGCAGACTGACAATATTCTATAAATGTTGCAGTTTGCAGACTGACAATATTCTATAAATGTTGCAGTTTGCAGACTGACAATATTCTATAAATGTTGCAGTTTGCAGACTGACAATATTCTATAAATGTTGCAGTTTGCAGACTGACAATATTCTATAAATGTTGCAGTTTGCAGACTGACAATATTCTATAAAAGTTGCAGTTTGTAGACTAACAACATTCCATAAATTTTGCAGACTGAAAATATTCTATGCATGTTGCAGTTTACAGACTGACAACATTCTAAACATTTTGCAGTTTGTACACTTGCAATATTCTACATTTGTATAAAATCAATTTCAAACATCTTACCTTCTATTCCCATGATTCCTTCCTGAACCAGTTTCTGTGCAGCTGCTGGTCTATAAAAGAGGAACATTGTCTTATAAATCACTACAAAATACTATATACAGATTCAAGAAAATATAATAATTGTATGTAGTTTTTCCAAAATAAAATCATGGTGCTCTTTCTATTAATAATCTAAATAGACATATTTGCACCTAATAATATTTTTTTACTTCTGTCTAATTTCAATATCTTTTTAACTAATAAGAAATTTGTGAGCTGACAATTCATCTAACATATCATTGTGTAAACCATTTCATTGTTTGTTCAAATGAAAAACCTGCTCTGGTGCTTATAGTTTTGATAACTAGTTAACTCTAACATAACAAGTTAACTCTAACATAACTATTTAACTCTAACATTACTAGTTAACTCTAACATAACTATCTAACTCTAACATTACTCTAGTAAACTCTAACATAACTAGTTAACTCTAACATAACTAGTTAACTCTCACACAACTATTTAACTCTAACATTACTAGTTAACTCTAACATAACTAGTTAACTCTAACATAACTAGTTTACTCTCACATAACTAGTTAACTCTAGCATAACTAGTTAACTCTCACATAACTAGTTAACTCTCACATAACTAGTTAACTCTCACATAACTGGTTAACTCTAACATAACTAGTTAACTCTAGCATAACTAGTTAACTCTCACATAACTAGTTAACTCTCAAATAACTAGTTAACTCTAACATAACTAGTTAACTCTAACATAACTAGTTAACTCTCACATAACTAGTGAACTCTAACATAACTAGTTTAACTCTCACATAACTACTTTACTCTAACATAACTACTTAACTTTAACATAACTACTTAACTCTAACATAACTGTTACATAACTCTAACATAACTAGTTAACTCTCACATAACTAGTGAACTCTAACATAACTAGTTTAACTCTCACGTAACTACTTTACTCTCACAAAACTACTTAACTCTCACATAACTACTTAACTCTAACATAACTGTTACATAACTCTAACATAACTGTTACATTACTCTAACATAACTAGTTAACTCTCACATAACTAGTTAACTTTAACTCTCACATAACTAGTTAACTCTCACATAACTTGTTAACTCTAACATAACTAGTTAACTCTAACATAACTAGTTAACTCTTACATTCCTACCCTAAAAGCATAAAACTTAATGCAGTTTCTGAGCATTTAAAATGCTTATTTTATTTCAGTTCAGATTTAAAAATTAATTTAACAAAAAGCAAATGCAGAAAAAGATAACAAATTAAAAAGTGACTGTAAATTTTTTTTAGAGTTAACATTTTCAGGATGCTTATGTTTCATTAGAGTTGAATGATATATTTCAGTACATTTAATTTTAATGAAAGATTTTTTCAAAGACCCATAATGATAACTATTTTTTAAAAATATGATAAAATAAATGATAACTAAAACATACCCTATCCCAGTAACCTTGGTAAGCTCTGTAATAGCAACATTTGTATCACTAGCACGGATCTATTAAAAAAAAAGTAACATTATGGCTTCTAGCCAGATTTCAAAGCAAATAAATTTCAGGGAATGAACCTTCTTTTACTCCTAATAATGATGTAAGTTGTTTTGAGCAAAAACAGTCTCCAGAATGCAACAATCAATTGAACTCAACTGACAATTAAGAGCAGTTAATTTTACAATTTTACAGATAGTTTTACAATCAACATTCAAAACATTTATCTGACTAAATGAAAACTTTGTTCATTCTACAGTGATGTAAATATATATTTAAGATTTATATAAGATATAAGAAATGCGTGAAGTTTCACTGATAGTTTATACTGAATTGATTTTAGTTCAATTGTGTAGGAAGATATAAGCTTATAGCCTTATATGCACACTATTAAATCTGTTCCTGCAACCAACCACTACTAAGCAATGAGTGTAAAGTTTCTTGCTCAAGGAAACAACATCATGCCACTAGCAGCGTTTGAACACACACGACCAGCTATCCTTAGATTTCTAGTCTGTCACTTTAACCCTCGGCCACAATGCCTCTGTTAAATAACTATGATATGCTGCTGTCAAGTGCTTTGAATTATTATCAAAAATACCTTTTCCAGTTTTTGTAACTTTCCAGTTTGAATGAATTCATCTATTTTCTTGGCAATCTTGTCTCCAATGCCTTCCTACAATAGATATCACAAAAAGTATTGTTAATAAAGACATGTTGCTGAAACTTTACCCAATGCAAAAATATATTTACAAAACAATTTCTGAAAGAAAGCATTTTATATATTTAAAAAAGTTCATATACCCCATAATTTTCAAAGTAGGCAGCATATATTTTACCCTGGCATATAAAACAAAGCATGCTATTTAAGAATCAATCACTTGAAAGCAATATATATTCTACATAACTATGCATTGTCACTCTGGTTAAATAAGTTATTATATCACAATGATCACCTTCATGCAATAACTGGTTAACTCGTATTATATATTAAGAAGGACTTAACCTGTTACTGCACTAACGGGGAGGAATAACAGTTTATAAATAATATCATCAAGTTCAAATGAACTGAAGAAAAATCATAAAAGTATATAATTTAACATTTATACTGCATAAATTGAGTGGGTTGAGTCTTTGCAACAAGATTAAAGCAAAGCCAGCATGCGCATTCACGAAGTCTGACCAGGCTGGCAAACTTCCAATGTTATCTTGGTAACCTTAAAGTAATAATGGAATGTTCCAAAAATGGAAGCTGGACAAGTCCATTTAATCAATTACCAAACCCTTGGCTTCCTTTCCACTTTTTATTTTCTCTGAATGCTTTGCCAAGACTCCAGCAGCTTTCCTGTAGGCATTGTATTTGTGCATTTGACGATTCACATTCTTTTCATAATTTGCTAACTCTGAAAATATAAATACACAAATTATTATCAACAGTGATAAATTAATTAGTTACAACTTTCTCCAGAATTACAAATATTGAAAATCATTGATTCTTCAAATTAGGGGCAAGTCACCTTATAAAATTAGGTTTTTAAATGAAGCATATCCTTTATTCAATAATTCCATGGATTTGTCATATACAAAAGATGTTTAACCAAAAGATTTGCTTGAAATGTTGGAGGATTATAAGTAAAATTCTTTAAGCATTAGTAACTTAAAGTCTGCTCAAATCCAGGACCCGAATACTCTCAGGTATTGGAAAAGCCTTCCATATCAGGTCAAATCCAGTCCCAGCCTAGATGCCTTCAAGGATAGGTTGGCGATAGTCAAAATATATTGACGTGCCAAAGCTTGATTCTGAGATATTTTCGTTCTGGGGCAGAATCTCGCTTTAACGTAGAGGCGAGATATTGCCCAGACACGAA